TGAACTCTACACAATCCTGAAGAATACAGAATTTTATTTCAATTTTTTAGTAGTAGCAGGTCCACCCGTACGCCATCAGACAATCAAAATTTGGTAAAAACGAAAATAAAAATTTATTTTATCCAAATTTATTTAATCTAATCATCTGAAAATTACCAGAGTTCTAGTAGGGACTGAACCCTACACAATCCTGAAGAATAGAGAATTTTATTTGAATTTTTTAGTAGTAGCACCCTCACCCGAACGCCATGAGACAATCATAATTTGATAAAAACGAAAATAAAAATTTATTTTATCCAAATTTATTTAATCTAATCATCTGAAAATTACCAGAGTTCTAGTAGGGACTGAACCCTACACAATCCTGAAGAATAGAGAATTTTATTTGAATTTTTTAGTAGTAGCACCCTCACCCGAACGCCATCAGACAATCAAAATTTGGTAAAAACGAAAATAAAAATTTATTTTATCCAAATTTATTTAATCTAATCATCTGAAAATTACCAGAGTTCTAGTAGGGACTAAACTCAACTCAACTCAACTCAACAATTCTAAAGAATAGAGAATTTTATTTGAATTTTTTAGTAGTAGCAGGTCCACCCGTACGCCATCAGACAATCAAAATTTGGTAAAAACGAAAATAAAAATTTATTTTATCCAAATTTATTTAATCTAATCATCTGAAAATTACCCAGTAAAAAAAATTCGATACACGGACCGCGGAGTTCGTATACGAGCTCGGTAGCTCGTATGAGAAATATGAGAAATCTCTCATACGAGCCTTTTCCGTAATGAGAAGTGTATAGATGCTTGTATACGAGGTGACTTTTAAAGCATTTTTATTAATGTAACACTACTTCATATATTTTTTTTCAAACAGTAAAAAAATAGATTGCATCTCATAATCTGAAAAATTAAACTTTCTAATTTCTTTAGTTTATGAGCAATTTGTTTTTTAATTATAGACAATTATAAAATTATTTTAATTACTATAATAATAATTAGATTAATGATAACTTAAAGTAATGCAAATACTTCTTAAAATATTATTAAAATATTATTACAAAACAAGAAAAAATTGATCACTCCGAGTCTTCGACTCAAAGTGATCGACTTCTTTGAGTTTTATAGTAATTTCCATTTCCATAACATTTTTCAGAAAAAATTAAATTATTTAGAAAATTTTTAATAAAATTCTCCGCAAGAATTCAATTAATTTTGCAAGTAATAAAGTTTTTAACATGAATTCAATTATTTAAAAAAAGTGTAATAAAATTTGTTGTGTAAGAAATCAATTATTTTCATAAATAATAAAAGTTTTTATAGAATTAGAATTATTTTTAATACACTTTTAAATGAATTCCTCAAAAAATGTAATTTTGCAAGAATTCAATTACATTTCACAAATAATGAAATTCTTCGCTGAAATTCAAATATTTTCAAAATCTACTATTTGAATGAAATTTCTCAAAAGAATTTAATTTTATATAAAAAAAAATTGTAATAAAATTCGTTGCAAGAATTTCTCTCCTATTTACCTATTTAAAAAAGAATTTAATAAAAATTCGTTACAAGAATTCAATTATTTTTCTAAATAATAAAATTCATCGCGCAGGATTTCAGTTACTTTAATTTAATTTTTAAGTAAATTCTTTGAAACTTATAATTATTTTTAAAAATGTTATTAAAATTGTTGAAATGAAATCAATTAGCAATTATTTTTAATAATTTTTGAAAAAATTCTTTCAGAATTTTCAACTCCATTTGTTTGCAAATTTCAATTTTAGGAAATTTCAATTATTCGAAAATTCTTCAATTAAATATATATATTAAAAAATAAAAACTTCAAATAATTATAAAAAAAATTCAATTAAACTTTTCAAAAAAAAAATTAATTCTACAGAATTTTTAGTTAAAAATATTAAACATTCAGATTTTCAAAGATTTTAATTAGCAAGCTTAATTTAAATTTGCAAAAAAAAATTTATTCTACAGAATTTCTAGTTAAAAATATTAAACATTCAGATTTTCAAAGATTTTCATTTGCAAGCTTTTCAAAATACAATTATCATTTTTATATCAATTTTTATTAAAAAATTCTACGAGAATTCAATTATTTAAATATAAAAATAAATAATTTATGGAATAATTAAATGTTTTCTTAAAATTGAATTCTTATAAAGAATTTTATCTACAGATTTTTAAATAATTGAATTCTTTTGACGAATTCTAAAAAAATTTTTAAGAATAATTACATTTTCCGAGGAATTTGATTAAAAGTGTTTTAAAATAATTTGAAATTTCTCGATGAGTTTCATTATTTATGAGAAGAATTGAATTACTAAAAAAAATTTTTTATTTATGAAAATAATTAAATTAATGCGAAGAAATTTATTACAAATTTTGTAAATAATTGAATTCCTGTGTAATTCTTTTATGATTTATGAAAATAACTAAGTGTCTGCACAGAATTGTTTAAAATAATTTTTAAATAATTGAATTCGTTTGGAAAATATTATTAAAATACTAGATATATTGAAAATCATTAAATTGAGCAAAATTTTTAAAAATAATTGAATTTCAGAGAAGAATTTTATTATTTTTAAAAATAATTTAAATTTTGACGAAAATTTAAAAAAAATTGAATTTCTGCGAAGAATTTTATTAAGTTTTAAAAATATTTGATTTTTTGTGATGAATATTATAATTTATAAAAATTATTTTTTTGAAAATAAAATTGAATTATTAAGTAATTATTTTATGATAGTTCTTCAAGAATTAAATTATTTAAAAAAAAATTATTATCAGAAATAGAAAAATAAAATTAAAGGTTTCGTATTAAAATTCGTGATAATTTCATAGTTTATGAGGCAAACAAAAAAATTACAACATTTATAAATTAAATGTATGGTTAATTAATAATAATTAAAATAGTTATAATAATAATAAATGAACAGTAATTTTTTTTGTCTATTATAATGATACGGAGAAATAATTAATAAATTTCTCCAATTGAAGACAATTTTAATTGAAGTTTATATACTTAAATTTATTCAAAATGAATATCTCTTCTTTAAATATTAAGAAATTATCACTGTGCCATATAATATAGCATAGTTATATTATATATTCTACGTTATATGCGGGTTAAAAGAAAATGAGGGTATGTCCTGAATGAAAATGTAAAATGGAAAAGTTAAATAAAAGATTGAGAAAAAATGCAACTAGAAATTGAGAAATAAGAAGAGACCAATGTGTGAGAATATAAAATCCAAGCAAAATCGAATGAATGGTAATGTGAAATGGAGTTGTTTGGAAAGAATTTTATATATAGTACATATATGTATACAAAAAGTGCAAATATAAAAAAAATATATCTACGTATATATATAAAGTGGTATATATGAATTGAAGTGAGATGAAAAACATATGTGAAATATAGAACAAAGTCAAATACACAAAGAATATAAAAGAGGAAAATTCAGATCGAGCAGAATATGTCAAAAACAAATTTTTTTTCCTTTAAAAAATTCCAAAAATATCCGCAATATTTTTATATTCACAATTTATACAAAATAAAAAAAAACAGAACTTAAAAATAAACTAAAAATGATTAAAAGATTTGAAAACGATTGGAAAATATTTAGAAACGATGAAAAAGAATTATAACAAATTTATTATTTTTAGAGTGAACAATTTTTTTAGTTCAATGCAACTTGCAAAAGAATTTGTTGATTGACTCTCTAAATTTTAATTAGTAAAAATATTTACTAGTTTGAATTAGTAATTGACTTTTCGCTTTTGAATTTTAGTAAATTTTCCTTAAAATTATTAGAAATTATTATTATAGTTATTTTTTTATAATTACAATTACTAATTAGTAAAATTTACTAATTAAAAAGCAAAAATTTAGAGAGAAGTTAATTTAATAAATAATATATAGACTTAATGAAATTTCATTAATAGAATGAAAAATAAATTCCTCTTCCTGACTCACTAAATGAAAATTAATAAATTTAATTTAATTAAGAAAATAATAATTTATCAACGTGAAAGAAAAATAAATAGAGAAAAAAAATTCTTTACGCTTTGTTTTGAACGTTAAATTTTCATAAAATTTTCACTAAATTTTCAGATGTTACCTAATAACTAATTGTTCGAAGTTTGACACTTTAATCAATACACTTCTCTATTAGTTTCCACTTTGGGTTTAATTAGAATATTCTTGACTTTAAAACAAACTTCCAATCAATTTAATAAATAATAATAATAAGGAAAGAATTTGTTAGCAGATATTACTATTAATTATTATTATTTGTAATATTATTATTTTTAATGTACGGTTATATTATTATAAATAAATAATTTATTATTAATATTTTTCTATTTATAGTAATAGAAGTGATTTATAAACACAGAAATAATTTCTTAATTTTTCAGTGAATAAAGTACGTTTTAGTCAGACATTTAAAAAATGAGAATACTAATTAAAAAATTTAATTATTTTCTATTTTTCCTGTAATTCATTTTTTCCATTTTTTTTTTTATTCATTTGAATTTATATATTTTTACTTCGTAACAATTCATTGTTAATTATTAAAAATTATATAATTAGAGAAAAGCAATGGAAAACTATTTTCGAAAAAAGAGTTAAATTTTTCATGTAATACACTTTTATCTCTTCGATGCTCTTTAATTAAATTAATTTAATTTTGTAATTTCCTATTATTTATAATAATTAAAAATTTGATAATTATATAAAAAAAAACATTTTGCGTTTTTAAAAAAAGAAATTTGGTGAATATTTAAAAACTATGATTTATAAAATATAAAAAGAAGAAAATTTTCATCTTTGAAAACAATAAGAACAAAGAAAATAAATTATTAATAATTTTCTTTTTCTTGTAAATTATTAATTATTAATTTTCTAAATATTGTAATTTTCTAACATTGAAATAGTGAAATATTTTCTTTTCTCTTTATAAAAATAAAATTTTCACCTTTTTCTCGTCCATTTGCGTTCTCAACTGTTTGCTAAGCGCTCTATCAATAAGATCAACGATGTAACTCTTGCACGTATGCAAATCTAAATCACCTCCTGCGTAATGGTTCTTCCTGTCTTCAATTAATGCATCTTTAAATTTGAATTTATTATTATTATTATTATTATTATTATTATTATTATTATTATTATTATTATTATTTTATTATTATTATCATTATTATTATTATTATTATTATTGTTATTAGTATATCTCTTTTGAATTAGTAAAATTTACTATTTCGAATTAGTGACTGACTTTTTGCTTTTGATTTAGTAAATTTTACTAATAAATAGTAATTTCTACTAATTTACTAGTAAAATTTAATAATTCAAAAGCAATTTTTAGTCAATTTTATATTAATAAATAGTAATTTCTTTTAATTAATTAGTAAACTTTAATAATTCAAATAGCAAAAAGTCAGTCACTAATTCAAATTACATAGTTGACATTTTTATTTTTTACTAATTCAAATTTAAAGAGTTGTAATTGTAATTACAATTATAATTATAATTATTATCATTATTATTACAATTACAATAAATAAATAATACAATTACAATAAATTTTATAATAAATTAATTATTTTAAAATAAAATATAAATAATAATAATTATTATTATTATTATTACTTCTCTCCAATTTTTCCATTTGTGAATTCTCAATAGTTGAACGACGTGAAATTTTTGAATTGCCTTTGAATTCATGTTGCAATTGCGATTGCTTCAAAAAATCTACCCCAATATCGTTATCGGAATCGTTATCGTCCTTTGAAAGTGAATGGCAACTAGCGCTTGGTTCGATTTTATGTCGTTGATGCATTCCCTGAAATAAAAAAAAATAAAATAAAAATATATCGCGCGCGCATCTTTCGTCAAACTTCAATGGACCAGAAAATTAGAAAAGAATTTTTTTTTTCTATTTGGTTAGTAGGTACTTTGAAAGTACAAAAATCCTTATTTCCCCAATTCATGTGGGATGAAAGCCGAAAAATTGGACAAATGATTAAGGACTCTTTTTTTGGAAAAAAAAAGAAAAAAAGATTTTTTTTAAAATAGAAAAAAGAAATCAGAGAAAAAAATTGCCCTTTTGACATATATAATAAAAAGCTTTGAATAAAAATAATTTTCCGATCTATTATTTTTGAAGAATTTTTTTCTATACTTTTTTTTATTTTTTTGTTTTTCACTTCTTTTTTTAGTTTTATTTTTAGTATTTTATTCTTTTTTTTACTTTTATTTTTTCATTTTTGGTTTTTTTAATTGTTATACTTTTTGCTCTGTTTTTATTTTTCTGTACTTTTCTTGCTATCATTTTATTTTTATTTTTGACATTTTTGTTTCGTTTTTCTTTTTTTCTATTTGACAAACCTTTGAAATTTCATTAGGACGCGTAATTGCAGATTTGTCAAATTTTGTCCTTTTCTTTTGACAGTCAATGTCTTTTCGACTCTTGATTTGTTTTGCCTCCATGGCCAGCTGATTAAGTTCCCCACAATCGTGATTCGTCTGTTTCTGTTCCTCATCCCTTGTGATTTCACATTTTTCAATTGATTCTCGAATCTTTTCGAAACAACTTTTCTTTTCCTTCTTCAAGTGACAATGCTCGGCGAAAGTCTTTTTCGAACAATCACTCTCCAACTCCGACTCATCCTGATTGTATTGAAGCTAAAAATTTTAATTAGTCACACATTATAGAAATATTCCAAAGAAGAAAATTATACAAAAAAAAATATAATTATTAAACAAAATTAATTCAGGACAATAAAATTCACAATTAAATTCAATTAAATACAATTAAACACAATTAAAAATAATTGCAAACAAGTAAATACTTTGAAAAACAATAAAATAAAATACAATTAAATAAAATTAAATTAAATTAAATTAAATACAGTTAAATAAATAATCCCCGTTCAATTTTCATTCCAAAAAGAAAAAAATTCCATAGGAAATATTATATTCACAAAACTGCATTTCTATATTTTTTATATTTAAATCACACAATTCAATCTTAAAACAAAAAAAGGAAAAATGAAGTTTAGAAAATCTGAAAAATAAAGGGAAAGAAAAATCGCAATGCCAGTGAAGTTTCTGCAAAACTCAATTTTCTGGTAATATAACTTGAATGAAAAATTGAAGACGTGAGAGGATTTTGAAAAAAAAACAAAAAAATAATAATAAATAAATAAAATAAGAAAATATGTACTTAAATCGAAATTTTTGAAAAAAAGAAATTTTTTCCAGTATGATAAAAGAAAAATATCCAAATATTTTAGATGGCATGTGTTTACATGATTATAGAAAAAGAAAAAAGAAATCAAAAACAATTATACATGACTGTAAATTTTTTTTAAGGTTTTGCTTTACGTGACTATATTTCGAATATTACAGCAATTTAACCTGACATTTTGCAGGAATAATCTCTAAACTAGTTGCCTTCAATCTCACAAGTTCATGTATGTCAAACTGTCACGCCATATAGGGTGAATTTTTTCTCCCTTTTTTCTGTTATTTTATTTCTAAAATTCTATACCAGGTGCTGAAAATTTCCTGTCAATCCAACTATTAGTGTGTAATATTTACAATAAAATAGAAAATAAAACAGCAACGTTAATCACTTTACGTTTTTTTTTTCAAAGTTGGAAAATGAAAAGAGATTGAAAGAAATAAATTTATTTCGTGTGGAAATTTTTTTAAATTCTTATTTTGATATTTTCTTCATTAATATCCTTTTTTTACTTTTGCATTATTCCTATTAACTATAATAATTTGAATTATTACTAGCAAATTTTACTCGCGGAACGTGATATTTAATTTATTATTGTTATGCAAATTACAAAATTCTTCATTTTCAAAAATAAATTTTTTAAATAATTTCATAATCAAAATTTTAAAAATTCACTTATTAAGTACAAAATTAATTATTACTGTTCATGTTTTCAAAAATTTTAATAAAATTTCACGAAACAATTCAATTATTTCCTAAACTTTTAATAAATTCTTCGAAATAATTCAACTATTTTTTATAAATACAAAAATTCTTTGCAGAAATTCAATTATTCTTAATCAAATTTAAATAAAATTACATGAAAGAATTGAATTATTTTCAAAAATTTCCATAAAATGCAATTTCAACAAGAATTTAAAATTCTCTAAAAATATTTCAATTATTTTCAAAATATTTTTAAAAAATGGTATATATAAATTAAATTACTTTCTATGCAATTTTTAAATATATTCGTGAAAAAAATTGAAAGAATTCAATTAATTTCAAAAAATAATAAAATTCTTGTGATGAATTCAATTATTTTGAATATACTTAATTTTAATAAAATTCTTTAAAGAAATTCCATTATTTTCGAAACAACTTTAATTAAATTTCTCGAAAAAATTTCATTATTTTCAAAAATTTCTATAAAATTTTTCATAAAAATTTAATTATTTCTTAAAATTTTAATAAATTTTCTCTTAGGAAATTCCCGGGATATTCTCGGAAATGACTCCCGAGAATTTATCAGTTTAATCCCCGGGAACATTTTCACGTGGGTAGTAAAATCCTTCGAAGGAATTAATTAATTAATTATAATTAATATATAATTAATTATATATTATAATAATAATAATAATAATAATAATTATAATTATAATTATAATATAATATAATATAATATATGTATATTATATTATATTATATATAATATATATATAATTATTATATTATATTATATTATATTATTATTAATTAATTAATTCAATTATTTTCAAAACAATTTTAATTGAATTCCTCGGATGAATTCAAATATTTTTAAATATTTACATAAATTTCAATTATTTCCTAAAATTTTTATAAATTCTTCGAAACATTTCAACTATTTTTATAAATAGTAAAATTTATCGCAGGATTCAATTATTTTCAATTCTCTTTTATTAACAAAATTCTTCCACATAAAATTTAATTGCTTTTTAAATTTTCAATTAAAATTATTTAAAAAACTCCATTAGTTTAAAAGAAATTCAAAGAAATTCTTCAAAAGAATTTAATAAGGATTTTAAAAAATTTTTTCAAAATTCTTTCCGAGAATTCAGTTATTTTCCTAAATAAAAAAATTTTTTGAAGGAATTCAATGATTTTCAATACATTAATTTTAAAATTGAAAATATTTGAAAAGAAAAATTATAAAAAAGTTAAGAAACAAAAAGCAAACAACAATTAACTTTTAACTGCGAACAGATTACCGGAACATGTACTTTATTATTATTAATTAATTAATTAATGTTATAATTATTTTTATTTTATAATTAATTCAAAATTGTAATGAGAAATAAAAATCATCAGAATTTTTTTCACTTTGGAGAAGAATTTTGTTATTTATAAAGATAATTGGGATTTTTACAAGAATTTTTTTCAAATTTTGAACATATAGTTGAATTTTATAAGAAGAATTTTAATTTTTGTTTGAAAATAATTGAATTTCTGCAATTAATTGTAATTTCTCCAAAATTGAATTTTTTTAGTGTTTTCAATAAAAATTTAAAGTAGAAAATTTTCAAATTCTATTATTTTTAAAATTGATAATTTTATCTAGTAATAAAAAATAAAGCAAAAAATACTAAATATTTTAAATAATTGTACATATCTAATCAAACTTATCAAAATTTAATTAATTAAATAATTTAACTAAAAAAAATGAACTATTCAAATATTTCCAAACAAGAATCTCTTTATTTATGAATATTGCTTTCACTATGCACTGATTTGAAAAAATAATAAAAATTTAAAAAGTTAATTCCTCTATTTAAATATTTCATAAACAAAAAATGCCGATGAAAATAAACTGAAGTCTTGGATAAAAGGAAAAAAGAAAAAAACTACAGGTATCTAAGTAAATATTTGAGTAAATGCAATATTGTCGATTTCTGACTTCACAGATATAAAAAGAGAAATTTTATGATATAGTTATTTTCACTTGTAGACTATATAAAGGGATGTTTAGAAATTATTTAAGGACCAGATGCTGTTTTACGTCTATTAAATTATTCAAACTCGCAAACTCTGCAGTAAATGAGAATTCATCGATTGATTCTCGTCGAATTTTTAAAACCCATACTATCGCCGAGAGGAAGAAGTGCATTACCCTGATTCGTTGATAAGCAGGAATTTCCGATTAGCCAGTAATTGAAACAGTCGCGCTTAAAGCAAGAGTTCAGAATGCTCTTATTCAATAGAAAGAAGCAAGGAAAAAAATTACTTTCAGTGTAATCAAATTATCAAAAAAACAAAAAAACAAACAAAAAATAGAAAACAAGGAAAAAAATTCAGAAATATTTTGAATTTAACTATTTTCTTACTTCGAACAAATTTACGAAAATTTACAAAAAATATTTGAACAAAATTCAAAAACTTAAAACATTTTTTTCAAGAATTAGAAGAATGGAACTTTATTTAAAAATTTTTATATTTTTACTACTTTTTCTTACTATTTTTCGGACTATAAAGAATTTATATCCATCCAACGTTCTTTCAAAACAAAAATTATTACCTAATATGAAAATTTTAATAACGAAATTTAAATATTTGTCTAAACAAATTTTCTTTGTTTACACAAAACATTTGTTTTTTGAAAAAACTTTTAATAATAAAAAGGGGAAAAAAATTATAAAAATAAAAAATTCGAAATTAAAGAAAAACTATCACGACGAAAAAATAGAATTTTTCCTAAAATTCTGTGTGGTAATAAATCAAGTGTTTATTGTAACAAAATTCGTAAAACAATAAAATAGTTTTTTTCTGTAAAAACCTTATTTTCGTATTTTAAAAAATATTATACGAAAACATCAGAAATAAATGCGGAAATTAAGAATAAAATATAAAAAGAAAAAGAAACATAAGATACAGATGAACCTCTTTTACAAAGGAAAAATATATTCAAAGAAAAAATATATTCAAACGAAAAGAAACAAAAAATATAAAAAGAATTGTAAATATTTCTTATTAACACTCGAAAAAATCTGTTTGGAATAATATTACCGATTATTGACAATACATTGCCTTTTTATTATTGAGAATAGAGAACAAAACGAGAGACACGAGAAAAAGAAAAGAATAGAAAAATAAAAATAAATAAAAATCGTTTTCTCTCCCTGGTGCAATGCTAGAGGGAAATGTGACATGAATGTAAGCTGGCTTTCAGATTCTGTTATTCTAATGGCTCTCAGAGATGTTCTCCCTTTACGACAATCGTTGGTACAAGTGTCTTCTTCCGCGTAAAGTCAAAAACCCGAAGAAAAAGAATAGAATATAAAAGGAGGAATATCACAAATAGTTTTGTGATGGAATCCCTTTTATCTTTATCCTAAAGCTAACAAGGTACTTGGATGTCAAAGACTATAAAAAAAATTGTAAAAAATTTACCTACATTTTATTGCGCATAAATTAATGGGGGGGGGGCAATTTTTTGTTTTTGTTGCAAAAATATAAATAAATCTGTTATTCAATATTTACGTCAATTTTTATCTCTCAATTTATACTTTTCTCCTTTTTCTTATTCGAGAGAAAATCTTTGTTTTCTATTTCTTCAAAATATTTTATTTACTCTTTTTCTTCGAAATATTTTTTTTCTCAATCTCTATTACATTACTTAAAAATATAAATTAAATTTTTCATAACTATAAAACATGAAGATATCGATAACTCCGAGTCTTCGACTCGGAGTGATCGATTTCTTCATGTTTTATAATAATTAAAGATCACCGAGTGATAAAATCATTTACAATTCAATTATTATTTACAAGAATTTTTAACTAAAATTCTTCTTTGAATCGATTATTATTTTTAATAATTTTCGAAAAAATTTATTTGGCAATTTTCAAATCTATTTGTTTACAATATTCAATTTTATGAAATTTCAATTATTCGTAAATTTTTCAATTAAATAAATATTAGAAAATAAAAACTTCAAATAATATTTAAAATATTCAATTAAACTTTTTCAAAAAAATTAATTTCAAATTTCAATTATTTTAAAAAATTCACGCTATATTGCTTTTAATATTATTATTATTATCTAAAATTTTAATTGAAATTATTTTTAAATCAATTTTTATTAGAAAATCCTACTAGAATTCAATTATTTAAATTTTAAATACAAAAATAAATAATTTATTGAATAATTGAATGTTTCTTAAAATTCAATTCCCATAAAGAATCGGTATCAACAAATTTTCAAATAATTGAATTTTTCCAATAATTTGTAACTTTTACAAAATAGAATTTTTTTTCGTGTTTTTAACTAAACATATTCTATAAAAATCCATTTTTTTTTTAATAATTTTTGAAAAAGCTCTTTAAGAATTTTCAAATTCATTTGTTTTCAATTCAATTTTACAAAATTTCAATTATTCGTAAATTCTTCAATTAAATATTATATTAGAAAAAAAATACTTTAAATAATTTTTTTAAAAAATCCACAATTAAAGTTTCTCAAAAAAAATTAATTCCACAGAATTGTTAGTTAAAAATATGAAAAATTCCAATTTTCAAAGATTTTAATCTGTAACCTTTTCAAAATTCAATTATTTCTAAAAATTTTCGCTCTAATGCTTTTAAAATTCAATTATAATCTAAAATCTTAACTGAAATCCATTTTTAAATCAATGTTTATGAGAAAATATTACTAGAATTCAATTATTTATATACAAAAATAATAATTTATTGAATAATTGCATGTTTCTTAAAACTGAATTCTCATAAAGAATTTTATCTATAAATTTTTAAATAACTGAATTCTTTTTCTACGAATTTTAATAAAATTTTTAAGAATTTTTTTGAGGAATTCGATTTAAATTGTATTAAAAATAATTGAAATTCTGCAATGAGTTTTATTATTTATGAAAATAATTGAATTCCCAAAAAGAATTTTATTATTTACGAAATTAATTGATTCACCGTAAAAATGTTATTATTTATATAAAAATAATTAAATGATTGCGAAGAAATTTATAAAAAAAATTTGTAAATAATGAAATTCCTGTGAAATTTTTATTATTTTTTGAAAATAATTAAAAGTTTGTGTAGAATTTTATTAAATTTCTTTTTAAATAATTGAATTCTTTTGGGTAATTTTATTAAAATAGTAGATATTGAAAATCATTAAATTGAGAAAAATTTTTGAAAATAATTGAATTTCGGAGATGAATTTAATTATTTTAAAAGATTTTTGAAGAAATAATTGAATTTTTAAAAATAATTGAATTTCGGAGATGAATTTAATGATTTCTAATGATTTTTGAAGAAATAATTGAATTTTTGAATTTTTGAAAATAATTGAATTTCGGAGATAAACTTAATTATTTCTAAAGGTTTTTTTAAAAAATAATTGAATTTTTGAATTTTTGAATTTTTGAAAATAATTGAATTTAGAAGATAAATTTAATTATTTCTAAAGATTTTTGAAGAAATAATTGAAATTTTGAAAATAATTATTGAATTTCGGAGATGAATTTAATCATTTCTAAAGATAATTGAAATTTTTGACAAGGATTTTTAAAAATTTTTGAAAATAATTGAATTTTTGCAATCATTTGTAATTTCTCTAAAATTATCCAAATTATATCGTAAAATTTACGAACTTTTCATCCTTTTTTAATCAAATTGCGGACTTTACGGACCTTTTTTCAAAAAACGGACTTTTACGGACTTTTTGAAATTTATTTTTACAATTTTTTAAAATTTATTTTTTTAGTATTTTTACTTTCTTGGTCTTGGTCATTTTTGATTTTTATTGTAAACAGTAATTTTTGAAAAGATTTCGTTCATTTAAAGATTTAGAATTTTTAGAACAATTATATTTTCTATCGTTCTTTAAAAATTTAAAGTATATATATTCTATATTGTTATTAATTTATTTTTTTAAATTTATTTCAATAAAAAATTTTAAAAATATATTTTTTAATTATTTCTTCTTTCCCTTTTTGGAAAAATATTCCAATAACTATATATTTTTGATATTTGAAAAATAATTTACAATATTCCTGAATATTTAGTGGGTTTTTTTTTATTTTTAATATTTTATTTTTCGGGACAAAAATTGATAACTAAAAATATAAATACCTGTCCTTCGGACTTGTCCTGTTCCTTTCTATATGTACTTTTATCATGAAACTCTGTATTTTCATCTGCAACACCGGAATTTATCATATCCATAAACATAGTATGCATCTCCTCCGGATATTCGATTTTTGATGATTGGTTTTGTTCCGAGTTTTGACCTCTTTTAAAGCTCTGAATTCCTCCTGTCATTCGAGAATTTATTCCAGAGGGAAGTGAGAAGGGACTTTTCGATCTTTTCATTGTCGAATTCTGTGGATTAGCCAAATAATTCTCATATTTTTCCAACATAGCCAAACCCTCCACGTATCTACTAATTAAAAATATTTTTTATTTTCAATTCTTGCAATATTTTCATACTGTAGAAAAATTAGTGTAGAATTTATTTTTAAAATATTAAAAAATTCAAATCAAATTAAATAAAAAAAAATTTTTTTTTTAAATTAAATAAAAAGTTAAAAATAAAATAAAACAAAAAACAAAATAAAAAATAATATAAAATGAAAAGTAAAGAAAAATAAAAATATTTAATAAAAAATACTTTTTATTTGTATTTATCTTATTTCATTTACATTATTTATTTTTTTTTAATACAGTCAACTCTCAATAATTGAACTTTCAATAAATTCAATTCCTCGAAAAATTAAAATTAGGTTCAAGTTATTTGAAAAAATTTTGATAACTTTTAAAACTTGCTAAGTTTCCATAAATAAAAATTTCGCTACTTTGAATTTTGTCATGTTCCTTGAGATTCAGTTTATTGAGAGTTGACTGTAAAAATTAAAATTGTAATTAAAAAAAATGTCGATTATTCTTTTTCAAATACCTTTCGTATTCGTTAAAGTCAGACTGACAATTACAAGAAGGACAATGTTGAAATTTATTCGTTTTTTTCCTCCTTCTTTCATGCTCGAATTGATCCTCATACGTTGGCAATTCACATTTCATGCAAACATTTTCTTTTCGATTAGTGTAACGCCTATGACGTGGAGCTTTTGATTTTTCCGGCCTTCGAAAATTTCTGTTAAATATTTCCTTAGTTGGCAGTAAATCACATCTGCTCATTTCCTACGATGCAATAAAAATTAATTATTTATTTACAAAATAAATTACAACAACTAAATAAATTAACATTAAATTCACATTTTTTTTATAATGAAAAAGAATGTTTTAAATTAATTTAGTTTTAAATAAATTTTAAATTAATAAAATAACCATTAAATAATAGTAAATAAATAAATAAATATTCATAACTAGTAAATAACTATTTTCACTAAATGAATAAATTCAACATTTACTACTTTCCTATTTATATTATTAAAAATCTTTTCCAAAGAAAAAATTACTTACCATGTCTCCACACATTCTTGGCATTTTTATATATTTTCCCCTTCTTTCACAATTTCACAAAAATAAAAATTCAGAAAATTATCTTCAATAAAAGTATTAAGATTCGTAAAATTATTTTCAATTAAAAATTAAAAGTATATTGTGTACGAATTTTAGTATTACAAAAAAAATATTAACCATTAACACATTTTTTGACATAACAAAACAAACTGAAACAAACTGAAACAAACTCTTGAAAGTTGTCAATCAAACAGTTAACTTCAAGTGCAACAATACAAAAATTAATAAAATTTTATTATTATAGCTAATTACATATTATAAAGAAAATAACTAAATTTTTACTTATTTTCATTATTATTTACTTGACTATTCAGTGAATTCTTTAGTTAATTGTTTATTTAATTGTTTAAATAAATAATTATTTACTTAATTATTAATTTATTATTTCCTTAATTATTTAATTAATTGTTCAGTTGGTTAATTAAATAATAATTTATATTATTATGTAGTTAACTAATTGTTTGTTTAGGTAATTAATTAATTAACTATTTTCTCCATTATTTAGTTAATTATATGTAGTTAATTGTTTAGTTAATTGTTCAATGAAGTAATTATTTATTTAATTATTTACTTAAATTATTATTTCATTATAAAATTATCTAATTAATTAAATATAAATTATTTAATTAATTACTTAATTAACAAGATAATTAAGACTAAGAAACAACTATAATTAAAAATATCTGAAAAGAACGTAATTTCATTTTTACAAACTTGTGGGCATTTAGAGAAAACAATAAATGAAAGTAAATTAAATTTATACAAATAAAATGGTATGAAAGAAAATAATGGAAATACTTGAAAGTCGAGTTCATTATGAAAAGAACTTGAAAATATTTTATATCTATACGTATTCCACACTAAAATATTCTGTTGAGATCTTTTATCAATTTTGAAGCTCTCTCCAGAATGTTCACTATCTTCAGACTCGCATAATGAAACACTTGGAAATGTATAATATATATATATGTATATAAACACTTCAAATCTTATTATTCCAAGAAATTAAATAAAAAATTTTACTCAAAAACAAGTTTTTATGTATAAAACAATACTTGCTAGACTTCGAAAAAAACAATATCAAAATTTAAATTATCGACAATTAAAATTAGAAACAAAATAATTTAACATATTAGTAACAATAAAAAAAAGAATAGAGTAATTTTTAAATTTTTAAAAATTGAAATTTAATAATTTCGATAAATAAATTATAATTTTGAAATTGAAATTCCTTAAAAAAATTTTATTATTTATGAAAATAATGGAATTCCTGTGAAATTTTTATTATTTATGACAATAAGTAAATGTTTACATACAATTTTATTAAATTTTTTTTTAAATAATTGAATTCTTTTAGGGAAGTTTTATAAAAATAGTAGATATTGAAAATCATTGAAATTAGAAAAATGCATTTTATTTTTGAAAATAATTGAAATTAGGACAAGTATTTTTTTTTGACATTTATAAAAATAATTGAACTTTGGAGAAGAATTTTGTTATTTAGAAAGATAATTGGGATTTTTACGAGAATTCTTTTCAAATTTTGAACATAGTTGAATTTTTTAAGAAGAATTTTAATTTTTTTTTTTAAATAATTAAATTTCGACAATTATTTGTAATTTCTCCAAAATTGAATTTTTTTTTAGTGTTTTCAACAAAAATTGAAATTAGAAAATTTTTCAATTCTATTATTTTTAGAATTGATAATTTTATTTGAAAAGGGTAGCAAGATTTTATTAAATTTTACTACGATTATTGTAGTAAATTTAATAAAATATAAAAATGAAATTTCAAAAATTATTTTAAAATAATTATTTTAGAAATTTTATTAAGAAATTAACAAATTTGAATTTACAAATTATATAAATTATATTAATTTATAAAATATAATATAATTGTAATTAGAGTTGTGCAAAAAGCTCGATCGAGTATTTCAAGCTTTTCGTTTTTCTAGCAGAGCTGAGCAGAATCAATCCGAACTTGAACCAAATTCTATCCGACACGTGCAGTATTAAACCTAAAATAATTTTGAGCACTTGAATTTTTCGAGCACTCAAATATTTTTGAGTAACTAAAACTCGAGCCTGGCTCGAGTATCGAGCCCGGCTCGAGCTCGACCATGCTATTCGAGCTTTTTGCACACCTCTAATTGTAATCTTCATCTTTGTTAAAAATATATTTACTTATTTCTTCCCATATTAGGTATATAAATATTTCAAATTTTTTGTACAGATATATTATTATTTTTATCTTGTAGACAATAAAATTTAACTTTGTCTGACCATATGTAGTTATTACTACTTAAAGCGTAGCAGTAATTTTCTTTTTTTTCTTCATATGTTTCTTAATAAATTTATTAATATTTATCTTTATTTATTATTATAATTATTGTAAAATAATAAATAATAAAATATTATTAATTTATAATTAATAATAATACCTAATCTTTATTTTAAAATTATTGTCTTGCGCCGGGAAAATTTTATTAAAAGCATATTTCGCCAATTTAATATAATTTTTTTTTTAAATTTTCGACTTGATTTAAATTTTAAATTAAACTTATTAACTAATACTATTATTATTATTGTTGAAAATCATAAATTAGAAATTACTAATAATTAAACAATTTTCTTGCCCGTACACTATTTATTTTGCTTTGTTCTTTTTTTCTTATTCTCCGTATGAAATGATTTTTCAATCATTAAATTGATTATTATGAAAATAATGGGATATAAAATAACCGGTTTTATGTTACAGTTACTTCAATTTATTTTTGCGGTCGAATATATAAGAGCGCGCGTTTTTGTTGAGATATTCAACTTGGCGAGCTTACGTTTACACTGCTATTTGCACAGTTTAAAGCTTTCAAACGAATCGCAAACTTAAACCATAAAACGCTTTGGAAAAAAAAATTGCCATTAAAAAGGGAATAAATTATATAGATGAAATACTATATACAATTATTTTTGTTTGTGTGTATGTAATATGAAAAAAGTAATACAAAAATATAGGAATCACTCGGAAAAAAATATTTATTTAGAAACATTCTCTGCTCTTGTCTTTTTATAATAATTATAATAAAGACAATAAGTCTTCTTTACATTAATTTTCTTTTTCTATATTATATATTATATACATATAAATATACACTCTTGGAAATATATAACTGGAAATAGATATAAGCACCATTTAAACTCAATAGTTATATAATTTTCTTCTTTAAATTTACAGGAGGTAGAATAAATTATTCTTATTTGTTTCAGAGGGATGCTAAAATGTCAACAAACGGATTTCCTGGTTCCTTTGCAACCTCTTCGAAGGTTTCCACAAAAGTTCTCTTTTGAGTTTCACTAGTTAACTGGAGAAAATTTTTTTTTTTTTTAATCAAGCGAAAGAATATTCTGAATTAAGGATCAAAATTCGTAAAATGTTTATTCAACATTTCAATTTAGAAAAAAATACATTTTATTTTTTGGGAAGATTACACGAATTCTGACCCTTGAACGAAAAAATATTTTTTAGAAAAAATTATGTTCATCAAAATTAGTATTTTTACATTAAAGGTCAATGTGAAATAAACGAAATTAATTTATTTCCTTTTCAATTTCAAATCAAAAGAAAAAATATTAAGTCTCTAATTGAAAAGTAATTCCTAAAATACATATTTTCTAAATTACTTTTCAATTATTTAAATTATTATTTTCATTTTCTCTTATTTTATTTTTTACAGTTCAGTGAGTAATTTATGAAAATATTTATATTAAAAAAATATTTAGTTCACATAAACATTCAGAATTTTTGAAATGTTATTTTTGAAAAAAAAAATTAGAATACCTTGGAATAGAAATCTGATGCAGCTATGCAGAGGAGTTTTTTATCTTCATATTCGAATTTACCAATTCTAGATTGAACGTGTGGAAATCTGGTGAAACAATAGTTAAGGATTAAAAATATTTTCAACTAGAAATAGAAATTCAATTTCCCAACAGTAAACTTGAAAATAAAATTCAAAATATAGAAAAAGTAAAATCGAAAATTAATCTTGAACAGGAATCACAGTACCTTTTTTAAAAATAGCTAAAATTTTTATTTTTTAATTTTTTAATTTTATTGAAGAGAATTTTTTGTAATTATTCTAAAACAGGCGATATAAAGAGATGACAAAGAAATTCTACATAAAAATTAAATTAACTCTGCGAATTCATTAAAATTAACAGCAAATTGAAGTTTACATAATTTAAAATTTCGACAAAATAAATTTAAAATCAATTAAAATTGTTAATAACAAATTTGTTTAGATTTAAGATAATAATTAAAACTTGCTACTTGGTTACTAATAACTTCTTCAAAAATTATTTTCATCATCACGATTATTCATTTCTAGAATTTTCAACTAAAATTCTTTTTTAAGTCAATTTTTTAAAATAATTTTTAAAAATGTTCTTTGTGAATTTTCAAATTCTTTTGCTTACAACTTAATTTTACGAAATTTCGATTATTCTGACATTCTCCAATTAAATATATTGGAAATTAAAAACTTCAAATAATTTTAAAAAATTCCATTAAACTTATTGAGAAAAATTAATTCTGTACAATTCTTAATTAAAAATATGAAAAGTTCAAATTTTCAAAGATTTTAATTTGAAATTCATTTTTAAATCAATATTTATTAGAAAATTCTACGAGAATTCAATTATTTAACTATAAAAATAAATATTTTAATAAAAAATTGAATTTTCATAAAGAATTTTATCAACAAAATTTTTTTGAAAATTTTATTTTGAAAAAAATTGAATTGTTACGCTAAGAATTACATTAAAGTTTTTGAAAATAATTTTATTATTTAAAGAAATTTAATTAAAAATGTATTGAAAATTATACTAAAAATTCCAATAAATAAATTGCAGCAAAGGTTATTAAAATTATTAAATTTCTTTGATAAATTTTAATAAAATTTTTAAGAATAAATATTTTTTCGAAGAATTCCACTAAAATTGTATTAAAAATAATTGAAATTCAGCATTGAGATTTCTTATTTATGAAAATAATTAAATCCCTGTAAAAAATGTTATTATTTATGAAAATAATTAAATATTTGCGTAGAATTTTATTAAAATTTTTTTTAACTAATTAAATTCTTTTAGTAATTTTTATTAAAGTTGTAGATATTAAAAATCATTGAATTCAGGAAAGTTTTTGAAAATAATTCAAATTTTACCAAGAATTTTATGGAAAGTTTTGAAAATAATTGAATTTCTGAGAAGAATTTTACAACTTTTGAAAATAATTGAATTTCTGCAATCATTTGTAATTGCTTCAAAATTCAATTTGTTTTAGTGTTTTTAACTAAAATTCTTCTATAAATCCATTATTTTTAATAATCAATTAATTATAATTAAAATTGAAATTTTACAAAATTTTAAATCTAAATCTTTTAAAGTTCATCTACTTATGAAAATTGTAAACGCAATTCTTTAAAAATTGAATTAATTTTGAAATATTTAAGTGAAATTAAATTTTAAGAATAAATACAATAACTTTAGAAAACAACAATTTTCCAGGATTTCGATAAAAATTCCCTAACTTTTCCAGGTTTTTTCAAGGTTTATAAAATTCCCTGACATTTCCAGGTTTTTAATTTTTTAAATTTAAATTAATTTTTTAAATTAATTATTTTCCAGGATTCAAATAAAATTCAAGATTTAATAAAAAAAAATTTGAAATGAGAAAAAATTTTCACAATTACAGTTTGAATCGAACAAAATTCTAATCGATTAAAAAGTGAATTACATAAAACTTTTAAAGTAACAAACAATTTAAAAATAAATTCAAACACGAGATTTGGAGAAATTAAATTTTGGACTAATTTCAGTCAAAAATATTTAAAATTGAAAAAAATTGACGCTAAAATCAAATAAAAATTTTAGTAAATAATTATGTGGTTAAAATTTAAATTTCAATGAATTATATTTTGAATGGATTAAAATTTGTATGAATTGAATTTTTGTTTAATTATTTAAAATAGGTAACAATCTGTGATCCCTGCTTCAAATAGAAAAAATAAACTTGAAAATAAATTCAAAAAGGATACAGAGATCTGAGCCATTGGTTTGTTGAGGTGCTGATGAAGAAACAGGATAAACACCAAGTCGATAATACAACCGGCAAACTTTGTATAAAATTCGGTAAACTGAAAACTACCCAGTCTTGAAGTAAACTTAATTGAGCGCTATTACAAGCTCTCTCGCAGACCTGCAAAAAAAAGGAAGAAAAATCTCATGAAATTAAAAATCAATTTCCCCACATTTGAGCAATAAATTATCTCTATTATTCAAAAGCTAAAACTTGACATTGAGCATAATAATCAACTCATTGGAGAAAAATAATAAATGATGATTAAAATGATTTTTTATTACATGAAATATTCACCTCCGCCAAAAAACCACACTCACAAACACAAGTATGCAACTTCCACACTCACCTTAAAAACCACAGCCGACATTAATCTCTGATGTGGTTGCTGTGGCGAAAGGAACTCTCCAATAACTTTAGTTAAGATTTCCGAGGGTGGGAAGAAATCGCTCAGAACGCCGGAAAGTACTGTACAAAGAATTTCAACTTCCATAGGATAACCCTTCTTAATCTTATCAAATATCGCTGACGTTCTCTCAATCGATCTAACTAAAGCTTCCGGCTCTTGATCAGGTAATGGTTCCTCAATATCTGGCTGATTAAACCTATCAGCCGCTTCTGTATACATGCACGTCAACATTAATTGTAATGCAGGCAGTGCAAGTAGTGCATTACTTTGTTTCAAACGATCGATAGCAATTTTGACAATTTGCTCCGTAACTTTGCCAACTACACTTCTTGTTGCGACCAACCTTTCCAAGCCCTATTATACAAAACAAAGTTTCAAATAGAAAACTTATTTCAAGTGCGTCAAACGCTCTCAATCAAAGCGACAAGTGCACCCTCACCTTCAGTAACGTTTGATGAAGTGTGGTTGAAATATTTTGAGTTGTGACTAGAGTGAGAACAAGTTCCAAGACTGCCGGCGCTTCTCCGTCCTCTGGTGTATCGTCAGCGTGCTCCAATAAAAAGAACACTAACGCCCACAGTATTCCTTGATGCGATTCACTTTGAAGTGGAACTCTGAAAATTATTCAATTTTATTATTTTTTCCATAAAATTACTCAATTTTATTTATTTCTTCAAAAATTAATCAATTTTATTACTTTCTCCAAAAATTTCTCAATTTCTCTTTTGTTTTGAAATATTTTCCTCTTCATTTAAATACTATTATAAAATAATACCAAATTAAATCTATTACATTCATTTAAGAATTTCTGTAATTGTAAAATTAATAGAAAACATCAATTATTATTTTTTCATAGGAATTAAAATTTTCAAAAATTTCACATTCGAACCTTTTGAAATTCAATAACTTAAAAGAATATTATATGTTCAAATGAATTTATCACTTGGTAAAAATTATATAATTTCCTTTTAATTTTAATTAAAAGAATACTAGCAACAATTTTAACTTCTTGCTCCTTTTTTAAAATAAAATTAGCAATTTTAAAAGTAATAGAATTTAAAAAGTTTCTAATTTAAATTTTTGTTGAAAACACTAAAAAAAATTCAATTTTGGAGAAATTACAAATAATTACAGAAATTCAATTATTTTCAAAAAAAATAAAATTCTTCTGATAAATTTCAATTATGTTCAAAATTTGAAAAAAATTCTTGTGAAAATCCCAATTATCTTTATATATAACAAAATTCTTCTCCAAAGTTCAATTATTTTCATAAATGTCAAAAAAATTCTTGTCCTAATTTCAATTATTTTCAAAAATTTTACTAATTTCACTGATTTTCAATATCTAAGATTTTAATAAAATTTCCCAAAACGAATTCAATTATTTAAAAAAAATTTTAATAAAATTGCATGTAAACATTTAATTATTTTCATAAATAATAACAATTTTACAGGAATTCAATTATTTTCATAAAAAATAATTTTAAATTCTAGAAAATAAATATATATTGTGCAAATATTTTTCTTCTTTTTCTAAAACAAAATAATAATTTTGTTAAAAAAATTGTGATTCATAAAGAAAAATAATGCAAAATAAATAAATCTTCTATTTCTTAATCACGGTTGTTTAACAATTTTCTAATTTTGTTTAGAAGTAAAGAACAAAAATCTGCATAAGAAAAGAAGTGAAAAAAATTCTGATTTCTATTTGTCATTGCAATTTTGAATTAATTATAAAATAAAAATAATTATAACATTTCAAAAAAATTAATTCTATCCAATTGTTAGTTAAAAGTATGAAAAATTGAGATTTTCAAAGATTTTAATTTTAAAATTCTCCGAAAATTCAATTATTTAAATACAAAAAAAAATAATTTATTGACTAATTGAATGTTTTTTAGAATTGTATTCTCCTAAAGAATTCTTTCAACAAATTTTTAAATAATTAAATTCTTTTGACGAAATGAAATAAAATTTTTAAGAATAATTACATTTTTCGAAGAAATTGGATTAAAATTGTATTAAAAAGTAATTGAAATTCTGCGATGAGTTTTATTTATGAAAATAATTGATTTCCTAAAAAGAATTTTATTATTTATGAAAATAATTAAATTTCTAATTAAGAATTTAATTATTTATGAAGATTTAATTGAATTCTTGACTAGAATTTTAATACAATTTTCGAAAATAATTAAATTCTTTAGAAGAGCTTTAATAAAAATATAAAAAATTTGATTTTTTTGAGTAATTTATATCAGTTATTATTTACAATTTTAACTGAAAGTCATTTTTAAATCAATTTTTATTAGAAAATTCAACGAGAATTCAATTATTTAAATATAAAAATAAATAATTTATTGAATATAATTTAATGTTTCTTAAAATTGTACTAAAAATAATTGAAATTCTGCGATGAGATTTATTCATATTAATATGAAAATAATTGAATTTCTAAACAGAATTTTATTATTTATGAAAATAATTGAATTATTGCGAAGAAATTTATAGAAAATTAGTAAATAATTGAATTCCAGTGGAATTTTTATTATATTTGGGAAAATAAATAAATGTTTTCGTGGAATTCTGTTAAAATTTTTTTTAATAACTATTTAAAAAGAATTTTAACAAAATTCTACGCAAACATTTAATTATTCTTTTAAAATATTAAAATAATTGATATTAAAAATTATTAAATTGAGGAAAATTTTTGAAAATAATTGAAATTTTTGCAAAGAAATGTATTAAAATTTTTGAAAATAATTTAATTTTGCAGAAGAATTTTATTATTTTTAAAGATAATTGAAATTTTCAGTAGAATTTTTTTTAATTTTTGAACATAATTGAATTTTTGCGAAGAATTTTATTATTTTTGAAAGTAATTGAATTTCTGCTATCATTTGTAATTTTTCTACAAAAATTTAATTATTTTAGTGTTTTCGACTAGATTTAATATTTAAATTTATTTTTTATTCAGTTATTTTTATTCATAATAATTTATTGAATTCGATTAAAATTGTATTAAAAATAATTGTAATTTTGAGTTGAGTTTGTTTTTTATTTTTCAAAAATCTAAATTCTTTAAAATTTCTAATTAAATAATTCTTAGAAATATATTTTTTGAAACCAAAATTCTAATTTTCCCTTTGTTTCAGAATAAGAATGGAAAATTTCAATCTCATATTTCCCAAATTATTCAGTTAATTGTATTTAATTTTCAAAATGAGAATAATTCTTTCAAAATAAATTCTTTTTCAAATTTTATTTTTTTCCTCTTGAAAAGAACAAGAGAAGCGAATGTTTTCTTTTTTCTCCTCAAGAAGAAAAAAAATATCCTACCAATTCCCATATATATATATATATATATATATATATTTAAAGTTGAATAAATTTAATTGAATCATGAATTTTATATTCCTATTTATTTACTCTTGAGACTAATACCTCTCGGATTCTTGAACGTCAATATGTTTTTGAATATATTCTATTGCCAATGGATGTACAATACTCTTTGTGTCCTCACAATTCGCCAATACAGCACTTTGCAAGAGGTACAGCATTCCATGCAATGCCGATATTCTCGCAGGCAAAAATCCAGACTTTAGACTTCCATCTAATAAGCGTTTAATCCTCTCCAAGTTTTCCATATCCTGCAGAAAATAAAAATTTTTTATTTCTTTAATAACTTTACAAATAATTTCCTTTTTTTCGTTTAAAAAGTATAAAAAAAGACGACGGAAATTAAATTCCAATAAATTAATTTTTAGCCTAATAAATGATTTAGAGAAATAAATAAAGGAAATAAAGAAAAAAATGTAAGTTAAGACAGAAAATAAATAAATTTTCTTTAATATCAAAATTGAAGAAAAAATTTACCAAAGGCGTCAGGACGGCAGCAGCTTTACAGACAGCGATGACTAGATACTGATGTAATATTTCATCTTCAACTGGATGCTTTTTCAACAATTCGAAACACGAGTCCAACATCCATTTATATTGCGCTCTCTCGACAAACAATTCCGAAATTGCCAATATCGATTGAACGACTTCCTTCAAAAGTCGCAGGGGAATTTTCACTTGAGGACTTATCCACGACGTGTATAATTCCAAAAGAAATCTTAAACACGAATCAATATCAAGTGCCGACGACACCAAAGCATCATTCCTTCGATTCTTGAGAGTGAGAACCGATGAACACAATTTATCCTCATGCAAATAGCACAATGACCACAAATACGCCACTGACAATTGACTGTAACTCAAATTCTCTCCATTCGTCACTCTCTCAATATTCCCCCTTGAAAATATATTATCCAAACATAAACCACGAGTATTTTTAAAATCATTCATACACTCGTACTTCCAAACAAGTAAATCCTGCACGAGATACAATTTCTGTGAACTTATTTTATAAAGAGCCAATTGTGGATCTCTCGAATGATGAATGAGACGACTATTTGTCGGATTACCCGGACATGGTAGCAATAAAGTTTGCATTAATAATCTCGTTATTGCTTGTACCGCTAGACTTGTCACTTGACAAAAAACATTAATATCTTCTGGTGCAATATCATCATTTTGGAGAATATTCACTACACTCAGGAATACCATCCAAATTTCTTCAAATTGCAAACGTGAGGTCCAACCCAGTAGTGTCACTCGAAATACAAATTGCTCGAGAATTTCAATTTCGTGAATTAAATCCCCTTCGGAGGAGAGTAAGGGAAAATTACACTTTGTATCGCCGGTGCCTGTCATTTGCCATCCGTATTTCCAAACCAAGGGCGGTGTTAAAACGAAAGAATTCACCAAAGGCAGTCGACTGACACTTACAATTAAACTCTCAATCGGTTCGTACAAGAAATCGGGAATTATTCTCTCTGTTGATTCCTCCAACCAGGATACTAGAGTCGCCATTCTTAGACAACTTTCAGCGAGTATTTTCGTATCGTCACTCTTGAGAGCTGTCTCCAATCCCCGTTTTTCGATACAAGGGAGTGTCTTCTTAGTCTTGTGAAAATGATTGACAATTCTCATTAGTGATATCGTCATTGAACAAACTCGATGATAATGTGTATCCTTGCCTACAATTTTACTCAGATTGTAATTTTTCATAATTTCCCTCGCACAATTGAGACACACTGCAATTTCCGACGGTTCCAATTTTTTCCTCCCGTTTTCATGGTTTTCTATAATCCAATGACTGGTCTCCAAACAAAGAGTGGCGAATTTACACAAATCCTCCTCGAACTTTCCCTCGATTGTTGCCAAATTAAATTTTGTCAATTTCTCCAAAGTTTCGAAATAAGTCACTATTCCTGGCACTACCGCGAAAAGTACCTCCCGATAGAGTGTGTCTTCCATCAGTTCATTGAATTTTGTCACATATTTCGACGAAATTTGGGGATCGAAAATAGAATGCGGTTTAGGAATCAGTTCGTTGAGATTCTTCACATGCTGCAGTAGTGATTCCTTAGCTGCTGAATAAAGAGGACTTTCAATAAAGTCAAAAACTTTCCCAGAAGAATTAAACTCTTGTTCTTGGCACATTGTGACAGTGCTTCTAACTCCTATTTTTATGCATTCTTTCAAAATCTTTATACTGAAGTCCTTGGAAGAGAAGATAGAGACACACTCTTCGTAGTTTAGATTACTTAAAAGTTGTGCCGACTCCGAAAAACCGCTATTCGAGTAGCAACACCGTATTTTCACCTGCGACAAAAACCAATTGCGATCGATCTGAATATTTTTGATCGTCGACGGATTGAAAGAGCGACACTGATCGAGCATCAACGGTGACAGATCGTAATATTGCTCGCCGAGTTTGTTCAACAAACTCACGAGACCTCCGTACTTTCTCGCCAATTTCGTCTCTTTCAAAATCTCCATCACTCGCATAAATTCCTCCTTCGGCAATTGTTCGTTCACATCCTCGACACTCAATGTCAGCAAAATTTCCACTCTTCGACTCAAGATATTCGCTGCCATTCTCGACAGAGCCAAGAATTTCGTCGTCAATAATCGAGGAATAAGAGCAATAATCACCGATCCACTCTGAGAATGATGGGCCCCTTCGACACACAACAATAATCTCTTGACAAAAGTCGGTCGCGATAGGTCCAAACACTTCGTAGCGATCGCCTGAATCAACAGACCACTGGCTGCCGAATTTCTATGCACTGCCACGGCGACAAGCTCCCGAACCGGTGGTTCAGTTGCCAAATGAATCGTCTCCTCGATATGGTTCACCAAAAGCCAGGTCAACGGCTCCGCATCATTCAGATTCTCACAAACGTAATCGCAAAACAATATCGTCCCTCCTCTTCGCACTATGTTCATATTAATCACACTCGTCTTTGAATCTTTCCCTCTCTTCGAAAATGGACTCGATTTTTCAATTCCCATCACCTCGGACCAGAAATCCATCTCACTGTAACTTAACAACGTCATCAGGTACGCCCACTGACACGTTAATATCGGCCAATAATTCCCAATGTTCAACATCAATTTATTCAAATCACAGACAAAAATCCTCTCCTCATTCGAAACGTTCCTCCCAAGAATCATCTGAACCGTTGCATTCGCCACTTTACAATGACTTCCAGACTCGAACATATGAATACAGAGCTGCAAAAACAAAGCCGATTGATGGACAAAATACTCATTCGTCTCCTGATTACATCTCAGCGTAGATACTTTCAAATCCGAAAGTCTCGCCCCAATGATCTTGATAACACGAAAAATGAAACGAGCCAAAATCCTTTCGGGCTGCAATTCAACCAACTGATTCCCAAGCGCATTCAAAGGATCCCGACTCTGTTGCAAAACCTCCGGCAGTAGGACAACATCCGACAAATCACTGATATTCGGACTAAGATCCGACAATCTCGCCAACATCGCCTCCTCCTTCGCATAAGAAATCAAGCACAAAAAAATAATATTCACCATTCCCAACCATCTTTCCAACCTCACCAATTTATCCCCCATCAAAGGCGGATTCGTCAAAAGTACCTTCAGCAGCGGATCGACGGGTCGAAAAACAGTCGGCGAAACCGTGGCGCAAAGTTTTACCACCGCCGCATGTGCCTCTTTAGACTCGATTCTCACCTTCCCCGCCGCCAACATTGGCAAAAGTGTCTCCATCACCGACCGAGACCATCTTCTCCACTTCTCCTCTCCATTCCCGTCACTATTCGATCGACACTCTGTCAAGCATAACGTCACAAGTTCAATAACCTCATGATACTCGACCAATCTCAACAGCATCGATATCAAAACCTCGTGTGTCGTCTCCAGTTCCTTTTGCTCCGACAAATTCGTACTCGAGCCCCTCGACAGAAAAATATCCTCCACAACCGGTACCAGAGCCGGAATACAATGCGTCAATGGCGATTGTCCACTCGCCATCAGTCCATCGCACAACTGAATTATCTTCGGCACACCAATAATATTCTTCGAATGATACTTCTCATACGAGAGGCGCACTAAAAATTCAAATATCCTCGGCAGTAACTTCTCCGTCTGCTGTATCTGTCCCTCTTCAATAAACTCAAATTGCTTTATGACAAAATCAATAAATATCTGATCCGAATCCAACATGCAATAATTAATGTGCAGCTGAACTAGCTGACTGAGTAGCATCAGAACCTGACACTGAAGAGGTATGGAACTTGTGATCGAGTACTGCTTCAGCGATTTGATAACCATTGGTTCGAACAATCGAATATAGGACGCGACAGATGCTTTCTTATCCTGTGTCTTCGTCAGACTTTTAAAGACAGACGTGATTTTCCGATCACTCCTTCTTCGAAGTAGACCAATCCACCCCGTGTCGGGATCATTACCCCCCCGGCAATTATTCCCTATTATTTTTATCGTCTCGGCTAATTGTCTAGAAGTCTTCTGAAAACACTGATTATAGAAACCACGATCATCGTCTCGATGATTCATATTCGTGTTTCTCTTATCGAAGTCCTGCCACTGGGCGCAGAGATTCGTTCCAAAGAGACATTTCAACAGTTGCTGGACACACTGCACCGATTTTGTCGGCGAGAGTAACATTGTCGTTTGCAAATAGTGTAGAATCTCCTCCGCAATTCTTCCCGCCTCGATCAGAGTTGCCATCTCGAGTAATTGCGAAAGTACCTGCAGTGTTGCGTTCAATAACGACAGGTACATTTCACTAGCCTCGGATATTAACGTCACGTTATAATTCGCGTGCGCATTACGAAGAATCTCGTACAATTTCACATAGTGCGTCATATTGTGAAACACTCCCATCTGCTCTTTTCCAAATCTCAATGTCGGGAATTTCTCCATTCGCTCCTTTGATTTATGTTCGGGAATTAATTTCTTCTTTGGCGACAGTGATTGTGCGCCCGGTAACGATGGAAGAGAGGATTTACTCGCAGGTGGCGCCAATTGAATATCATCGATAACGTGAACAAAAACATTCAAAAGTCTCACAACGTGATTCAATAATAATTCCAAATGTTGATACATCTGTTTATCTTTATACAAACCCCACAGCTTCGCCGAATCAGTTTCATTCTTATTGATCGGATCGCCGGGCTTTAAATTGCAAACAGCCATTCCTGACGCGAGATTTCCAGCTAGTGTCAATAAATTCCTGTGTAGAGCGAGATCTAAACTCACGGGCAATGACGAGAGGAGGACAATTGATATTGATAATAAACTATTTCCACTTGATAAAATCATGTCACTGGCTAAATTTATTTCCTTGAGATCCAATTTACTGGATGATTTTTTATGCGTTTTTTTGGAGGAATTTTTCGATAGAATACAATCCCAGGCTCTTGAATAGACGGTCGTGAAATAAGTCTCACTTAATAGACTCAGTGATTCAAAAATACCGTACGTTAAATGTTTTGATTGAAATGTATTGAGTTGATCGATCAGAAGATTCACTATTCGCGATAAAGCGTCATCGATTTTTTCCGAATAGTGCATTTCTTTTGATGCGCATAGTGATACGAAAGGCTTGATCAAGCTATTCATTAAGAGTTTATGCTCGGCGAAGCACGCTGATAATTCCAAAGATTCGTAAATTACTGTCGATAAATACTGATCTGTGTGCAGTGATGCTTTCCTCGTCACTGCGTCCTCCTGTGGTTGTTGATAATACAACAATGGAATTATTCTGCAACATGGAAACAAATTAAATTGCTTATTTTTCCGATTAATTAAATTCTACATTAATTAACGTAAAAAAACGTTGATAGAACAAATTTAACCAAAACGTGAACTAAAGAAAGGAACAATTTAATCTGAAATTGATTTAGAAAGAAAGAAAAAGAAAAAAATATTCAGTATTTTTGAAACTCATAAAACTGAAATTACTTTGAAAGTGTAATTAAAATTCTTTAGATTTAATAATAAATTACTTGGTAATAGCGGCGCTAACTGCAGATCGAACTCGTTGATCCTGATCACCTAGCAATTGAGTAAAAACGGAAATCACGTTTTCTTGAAATTGAGTACTATTTGTTGCGTGTTCTATGGTAATGTAGGGCAGCTCACTTAAAAGTTCAACTAGCTTTACTCTAACTAGAAAATAGGGATTATTTACAATTTGCGGAAGCAAATTCAATATCACTATTGCTCGTTGATTTTCCACAGATTCTAAAAGATCAGTCATAAAAATACCAAGAGCATTTAAAGTCTGTCGACACGTCGCCGCCGACTCGTCCTCCAGTCCCTTGAAAAATTAACAAAAAATTCACAAATTAATACATCGATTGCAAAAAAAAATTCACAACATTAACTATTAATTAAAAAATATAATTTTAATAAATTTTATATTCTAACTGAGTCTTTTTTAATGTTTCCTTATCGTAACTCGAAATTATTGTCGAATTTAACATTTTATTAATTTTATTTAATTATTTAAATAAAAATAAAGAAACTAAATAAAATACACACAAATAGAATAAAATAGTAAAATTATTAATAATAAAATAACTAAAATAATTTAAAGAAATTAATTAAAATAAATTAATAAGAACAAAAAAAAAGAACATAGTATAAAGCATTGAATCAAAATTCATTATATAATTCCATAGAAATTTCAAAACCAACTATAAATTAAAAAATTTAATTTTTTAATTTAATAAAATTAGTGAACAAAAAATAAAAAATAGGTACTTAAATAGAATAAGATAGTAAAATAATAAATTAATAATAATAGCAGTACAACGAAATTAATAAAAATTAGTTAATAAGAACAAATAGAAATTAAATTTTTTCAATTTAAAAAAAAAATTAAAAATTAAAAAACCAATTACAAAAAATCCAAAATTAAGTTTAATAAAGTTTTTAAATTGAAATCTTCAAAATTTTAATTACTGTAAAAGAATAATTAAATTTAAATATAAAAAATTATTAATTTGTTATTTTGTTTAAAAATTATTAGTTTTTAATAATTTTTTTTTAAAATTCTAAGAAAAAAAAGCATTTTGTAAGAATTGTAATTATAATTGTTATAAATTATTAAACTTGAAAGTGTTTTACATTGAAAATATGTGAAATTTTAATTCCTGTGTTTAAATAACAAACAAATAACAATAAATATTTAAGTATTTATTTTACAAGAATTATAGAAATTTAAAAAATTTAATTTAGAAAATCTGGAAAAATTATTATATTTTAAAAAATTTCAATTAAAAATTTTTTTTTATAGATTTTATGATAATTTTTCAAAAAAGTTCTATTTAAATAATTTAATTGTCGTAGTTTAATTCTGATAAGAGTTGATTTTAAGAAATAATTGAATTTTAAAAGATTTTTAAATAAAAATTAAAAATTTTAATTTCTGTAAAAGTATAATAATATTTAAATGTTTATTTGAAAAAATTATAAATATATATTTATAAGTAATTTTTGCAAATAAACATTTAAATCCTATTATACTTTTACAGAGATTAAAATTATTAAATTTTTGAATTTAATTTTATTTAAAGATTCTAAGAAATAATTGAATTTTGGAAAAATTGCAGTTGAAATTTTTAGAAACAATTAAATTTGAAAAGGTTTTTCATTAAATATTTTTTGAAATTATTTAATTTTTGAGGAAAAATAAATAACAATAAGTTTTTAAATATTTTTTAACAAAAATTATTTAAGTTTTGAGTAATTTAATTTAGAAATTCTAAAAGAATTATTATTATAATTATTTGAAAAGTAAAGAATTTTCGTTAAATTTCAAAAAGATAATTTTTTTAACTAACAATAGCCGAGAAAAAAAATGTTAGTTTTTACTAATAAAATATAAAATTATTAACTAAAATAACATAACAGATTAATAAGAATTAATCAATAAGAATAAAACTGTGTTAATTTATATGAACAAAAAAATATTACCATCAACAATAAATTGATCAGTTCAGCGAGAAATTCTGGCCTCTTATTTTGAATTTCAAAATCCTTAACTTCCGTACTTGTGAATGTACCATAATTCTCAGCCAGCATTGCTCTTAAAAAGAAGCCAATAATCATTGAAACATTGCCCCTCAATTGTGGATCAGAATGTTTCGCGTACAGCAAAATATCGGACATTGTCTGTTGATATTCGTCCGTCGATGTTCTGGCAACCGTTGAAAATAATAGACTTGGATATATCCTTAAAATATGAGAAATGCAGGTGAGTGCAAGCGATTTAACGCTCACGCGAAACATTTTATCGGTTATTAATTGACCGACTTTGCCTGTCAATAAAAATGACGATGCCAAATAACGACAACAGTATTTTAACGAAACATCCGTTCCATTCAGTCGACCGATATCAAATTCAGGAAGTGAAACATTCACCAAACTTCTTTGCGGTGAATCCAACGATGTTAAAGTATCGTCCAAAAATTCCTCCTCCCTCGAATGTTGACTCATTACACTCGAATCGTAAACCTTCTCCGATTTTTCAAGTTCACTGCCAAAATCACTTCCATCGTCCAGATCATCATCTAGAGGTAATTTTTTGAAAATTGAAAAAGAATGTACATTGCGGGGAATTATGAATAAATAAACGAATAAATAAAGAAAGAAAAAAGAAAAGAAGAATCGAAAGAAAAATTCTAATTGTAAAATAGATAGACAACCTACTTCCAATAGTTCCGATTTTCAAATTATTATAATCGTCCAATATTTTCGTTGTCATTTCAACAGAGTCATTGGGAACTTGTTTCGGTGACCGATGAATAACAGGCAGAGAATTTTCCGACTCAGCAATCCACTTTTGTATTTTTGGTGTAATATCCGAAATTTCTGATAAATCCGAATCTAGTAAATTTAAAGGAACTTCCGATGTTCCTCCCGATACTGTGGTAGTGGAAAGACTCATATGTCCCAATGAAAGTCTTCCCGAATTTTCAGTGAGAAAAATTCGACTATGACCAATGCCATCCGATGAGAGTAAAACGGACAAAAATTCCTTTTGTGGTGATTGAAGAAGTTTAATTAATGTCTCTAAGGCCGAATTAATGACATTATGATTCGAATGCCATTTTGTATAATGTAAACATAATTCATAAATTTGTAGAAAATTTTCCAGTCTATGCGCATTCTCTGATTCAGTTACCAATGGCACATTCATGTGAGGCAACATTAATTGAAAACAATTGAAAATTCCAAGAACTGTTGTCATGCATTCTTTATCGGTTTCAATAACACGTATTGCTGTGTCTGAAAAAATAAAAAATAAACGTTTCAATGAATGAAATTTATTTATTTCTTCTTTGAAATCAGATCTTTATTGCAATAATTTTACCAATGAGATTATCCATCACGTAACTCAAAAAATTTTGCGGTTTACGACAATTCAAACATGTTGTCACTATCATATTGGCAGCGGATCTTCTCAGTGTGGCTTCAGTTGATGAAACATTTGGAAAAAATGCTTTTAACAATATCTACGAGAAGTTTTTGAGAAAAATTATTAAGGTAATTAATTAGAAAAAGAAGAAAATTAATTAGAAAAGTAACGTAATTAATTGTAGAAATAAGTCATATTTTCCATACCTTAACATCTTTGTCGGTCATAAATGGTCCAAGGGATTTCAAAATTAACGGCAACGACTGAGTCAACGTCTCAATGACAGATTCCTCTTTTCTTTTCATAATGTTTACAATGCAAGGAATCAAATTTGTAACATATGCTTTGCCCCTTGCTGCCCGAATCATATGACTGAGTAATCCAAAACGCCATAACGCCGCTCTCAAACATCGGGCAGATCTATTTCTTTTTATTTCTTGATACAATTCAATTTGTACTTTCAAAATATGAGTATCGGCCATCGCCTGAAATTATATTCAAAATACAATATAAATAAAATGAAAATTAAATTGGAAAATTAAAAAAAGAGAATTAAAGAGAAAATTAAGATTAATAATTATTATTAAGTAGCAAGAATTCAATTATTTTCATAAATAAGAAAATTCTTCAATCAAATTCAATTATTTTCAATACAATTTTAATAAAATTTCTCGAAATAATACAATTATTTTAAAAAATATTAATTAAATTCAATTATTTTCAAGAATTTTAATATAAATTCAATTATTTTCGACAATTTTGATGAAATTCTTTTAAAAAAACATTATTTTCAAAATTTGCAGATAAAATTCTTTGAAACAACTCAATTATTTTTATGAATTGTAAAATCCTTCGCAAGAATTAAAATTATTTTTATAAATAAGAAAATTCTTCGCAAGATTAAAATATTTTCATAAATAATAAATTTCTTCAATAGAATTCAATTATTTTTAACAATTCTGATAAAATTCTTGGAAACAATTCAATTAGTTTTAAAAATTGTAAAATTCTTGGCAAGAATTCAATTATTCAATTATTCTTGTAAATAATAAAATTCTTCTGAGAAATTTTCAATACAAGATATTTTCAATACAATTTTAATGAAAATTCTAGAAAAAAATTCAATTATATTCAATATAATTTTAATAAAATTTCTCTAACAGGTTCAATTATTTTTAAAAATTGTAATAAAATTTGTCGAAAAAAATCAATTGTTTTCGAAAGATTTTAATAAATTTCTTTGTAAATTTCAATTATTTACCAAATTTTCAACTAAAATTATTTTAAAAAATTACATTATTTTTACGATATTTAATTAAATTCTTTAAAAAAATATAATTATTTACAAAAACTGTAATAAAATTGTTTAAAAGAATTTAATTTTCTTTAAACAATTTTTATATAATTTAATAGGAAAATTATTAATTACAGTTAATAATAAACACGATTACTTTAAAAACTTAAAAGAAAATCTCCATAAAATTCAATTACTTTCGAAATTTTCAGTATAAATTATAAAAAAAATTCCATTATTTTCAAGAAAATTGAAATAAATTCTTCAAATCAATTAAATTATTTTTAAAAAAATTTAATAAAAACCTTGCCAAGAATTAAATTATTTTCAATACAATTTTAATTACATTTTCTCGAAAGAATTCAATTATTGAAAAAAATGTTGATGATATTCTTGAAATGAATTCAATAATTATTTTCAAATTTGTTTATAAAATAATATAGAAGAAGAAGATTAAGAGAACATTTTAGATGACTAAGAAATTTATAAACAAAGAAATCAAATAATTAAATTTATTACTGACAAAATTTATTTTTTCATACCCTAATAATTTTGTTGAGACATTCGTCCGCCACGGTTCGGACGTCGGAATCATTATCATCGCAATACGATAAAAGTGTTTCAATTGCAAGACTAAGGACATGAGTAAATTTTGGAACAACTTTAATTGTCGATATACACACTCCATCGGCAATTGTTATACAATTCGATATTTTCTCCTTTTTCCTAAAAAAACAAACAAATTACATTATTTTCGAAATTTTATTAGCTTTTTTAAAATTGCAACAATCGTTGAACGTGCAAAAATAGTAGAAAAATTTCAGAAAACAACGATAAGATCAATGTAATTAAGATTGTAATCTAATTAAACAATAAAATGATTAAAGAATCATTAATTTATTTACTAATCATAAAATTAATTAAATTCCTTTAATGACAAAAAATTTTATAATTAAAAATAATTTGAAATTTTTTAAAAAACCATATTATGTAATATAAAAGAAATTAAAACTGTTTTAACAGACGATAAAAATATTTTTTTCTTGCTAGCAAACGAAATTAACGAGAGTGATTTTTGTTGATAGAATATAACAATTGAAAAAGTACAAACACAGGTGTTACTTATATTTTAAATAATTTAAAAATACATAATTCATATTCTATTTTAAGAAATCAAGATCGTTTTATCCAATAACCACGAAATTATTTTTTATCTTACTTTTATTACAATAAAACCGTTCTTTTAAAATAACAACATTGTATACAAAACAACAACATTTTCAATAATTCATGTTTATATTATCATTTCAAAAGTCACACTTCAATAATTTTATTAGCGATTTTATTTACTACTTTTAATAAAGTTTATTTTCCCAAAAAATTATAAAATTTTACAAAAACTCTATAAATATTAATAAAATGATTCTACATGAAAATAAAATAAAAGAAAATTTTTTAAATAATCAAAATAAATATTCAAAATAATACCTGGCACCAAAATCCGAATCAGCTGATTCCTGTTCTTGAAAATTTTTTAATGTCTCTACCGCTTTAATAATAATATTTAAAGTTGTCATTTTGATTAAATTCTCATTTACAAGTGTGTGAAATAAATTTTATCCATTTTTACACTCGATTGGCACATTAGACTGATTAATAATGAAAGCTTTCTAAAAATTTAACACATGTGTGAAGGTCGTTTGTTGACAACGCGACATTATTGACAGACTAGCATATTTTGACAGCTGTCAGTATTGAAGTAAATAGACAGATGTCACTAGTGTTTAGCGGGCGTTTTTAAAATCGTTAAATTCAATAAACATATAATTAAGATTTAAATAGAAAAACTAATATAAAATAACTATTATTATTAATAGTAACAATATTATTTGTTTATTATTTAATAGATTAAATCACATTGACAAAATAGTGGAGTTTTTATAGTTTTATCTTATTTCCGTTGGAGAATAATTTCATTGGTCGACAGTGAGCTTGACAAATTAAGATTGGTCTGCTAAATAACAGAAAGATTCCTGTTTACAGTCCTGTTTGATTGAAAAGGTACTTTATAAGTATTTTATCTCTTATATTTTGTATATCTACAAAAATAATTCATCTTTCATGGTACAATAGAATTTTTTTTGTTTATAAATCACATTAACCTGCTGAAAATTTAATTTGTGAATTGTAATTTTTCTCAAAACTAAAATGGGGATACGAGTTTGGGAAGCTCTTGCCATCAGTTACGAAATTCGTGATGCACAATGTTTTATAGAATTATTGTTTCATTACAAATTTATTTTTGCTATGAACAATCGTATATAATATTTGCTTAATTCCTGACAGTTTATAAGTAATAATAGTGATTGTTTAAAAATGGTAAGAAGAGAATAATTGAAATGTTTGTGCCAATAATGTCAGTAGTGCTTTCCTTTATTTTTCTATTACAATAAAGCATGTGAACATCATTGTTGATAATATAAAAGAGAAAAATTTTTAATTTTAACAATGCAGTGATTTGTTTTTCAACAATTGTAAATATTCTTTTCTTTTAAGGAGTTCAAATAATATTGGAGGTTACAATTCAAACCAGGATTTTTAATTCACCATCAAGTTGATTGCATTGTCTATTGGACGGATTTTTTTTTGAATTTTCGAAAAATTCAAGTCCAACAGGTAAGAATTTTATTGTTATTCATTCAATTTGAATTTACTGTCTTTTGTTTATTTTGTTGAAATCATTTTTTTATCGATATTCGGTAATTATATGCGAATATAATGCATAGTTCTATGGGAATTAATGCATAAAACAATATGTAATTTACATTTTGTTCGATTTTAATAACCCACTTTGGCATTCAATGTTTTTAGAAACAAACTATTTTGTAAATTTCAATAATTCTCTGGAAGTAAATTTAGGAAAAAAGTTTTGTTGAATTTAATTTCTTTCTCTCTTGATTATAGGTTATGTTTAAGAGTTTCTTTATAATTATAAGCACAGAATTTATTGTTGATTCAGGCATCACAGTTGGTCCCCTTTTGTCCCCTTACTTCAATTTTATCACCTTTTTCAACTTTTTTAAAAGATTTGTTCCCTTTTTCACCTTTTTCTAATCAAAAATAAACAAGTTTTGCTTTTTTTGAAATCCTTTTCAAAGTGTAATCATAAAATTTATTTTTTTCTAGAAAAAACAAAAATTCTAATCAAAACCTTTAATTTTTTCCATTTCTGACAATAATTTCTTTTTAAAAAACTTAATTCTTCTTCAAAATTCAATTATTTTCAAAAATTGTAATAAAATTCTTGTCAAAATTTCAATTATTTGCCAAAATTTTCCAAAATTCAATGATATTCAATATCTACTATTTTAATAAAATTTTACAAAAGAATTAAATTATTTAAAAAAAATATATTAAAATTCTACGCAAACGTTTAATTATTTTCATAAATATTAAAAGAATTTCACAAGAATTCTATTATTTACAAATTTTTTATAAATTTCTTCGCAATAATTCCATTATTTTTATAAATAATCAAACTCATCGCAGAATTTCAATTATTTTCAGTACAATTTTAATCGAATACCTCGAAAAATGTAATTATTTTTAAAAATTTTATTGAAATTCGTCGAAAGAATTTAATTAGTTAAAAATTTGTTGATAAACTTCTTTATGAGAATTTAATATTAAGAAACATTTATTTATTCAATATAAATTATTTATTTTTGTATTTAAATAATTGAATTCTCGTAGAATTTTCTAATAGAAATTATTTTAAAAGTGAATTCCACTTAAAATTTTACATAATACATAATTGAATATTAAAAGCATTATAGTGTGGATTTTTTAGAAATAATTGAATTTTGAAAAAGTTTCAAATTGAAATCTTGGAAAATCTGAATTTTTCATATTTTTAACTAACAATTCTATAGAATTATTTTTTTTCAATAAGTTTAATTGAAATTATTCGAAGTTTTTATATTCAAATATATATTAATTGAAGAATTTCCGAATAATCGATGAAACTTCGTAAAATTGATTTGTAAACAAATACATTTGAAAATTCTCAGGATTTTTGTTTAAATTATTGTAAATAATTGACTTAAAGAAGAATTTTAGTTAATTCTAGAAAATAATAATTAAATTGAAATGATGAAAATAATTTTGAAGAAGTTACAGTAAAAATATTTCTTATAGTAGAAAATAATGATCTTATCACTGGGTCATCTTTAATTATTATAAAACATGAAGAAAGTGATAACTCCGAGTTTATATTCTCATAAATTGTTGAATTTCAAAAAGATTTGAATTTGAATTTTTTGAAAATCTTAATTCCTGTGGAAAAACAATGATTAAATATTAAAAAAAAAGTTATTGCTGTTTTAGAATAATTTTATAGTTAAAGAAATTCGTAAATAAATGTAATAGAACATTTTTTTTCGTTTCTAATCATTTTTAGTGTGAATCGCAGAATATTCTTTAGGGAAAAAGTCAACATTTTGTCTGGAAATCAGGGAAAAGTCAGGGAAAACAAAATTAAATTTTTGTTGCAACTCTAATTAAAATCGAATCATTTTTTAAATATTTTATAGAAGCAGATAAAAAATTTGAATTATATATGCAAGTTGTATAAACAAATAAATTTTTGTCCGCTTTTTGAGGAAAAAAATTTCCCCTTTTTTTGGGAAAAAAGGTACTATGATGGCTGTTGATTCTATTTTTTTAATTTAAAGAAATTTTCTTCACTTCTCTTAAGATTTTTAAAATTTTAAAAAAAAAGTTAATTTACTTTTTAAAGCGTTTTAATTCTCATCTTTCAGGTGAGTCGCATTTGCAACTGAACGGAAATAATTATGCCGTGAGGGAGACGTTAATGTCGAAATACTGTCTCAGAGTTTCTTAATAAATCATTTAAAATGCCTGGGTGTGCAGCTATAGGGTGTAATAATCGCAGTGAAAAGGGTTACACAATGAAATGTTTCCCTCGCGATCCTATTTTACGACAAATATGGAAAGATCGAGTTGGAAGGGCCGATTGGGAGCCATCGAACAATTCCTTTCTGTGTCACGCGCATTTTGCACCAAATCAGTGGATGGTTACTCAGTGTGGAAGATTAAAACTAAGAAAAGGCGCCGTGCCATCGATATTTAGAGTTGTTTCAACCCGCAAATCACCGAACAAACGTCGACGATTAGGAATGGTTAGTCGAAGCGAGGACGAGGAATTCGGCATTGAAATAGTCGACGACGACGAGGAAAACTACATTTATCTTGAAACACCAGAAGGAGGGAGAATTCAAAATATTGGCGAAGATTCTATTGTTTTTCTCGATCCACAAAATACGCCAATTGTCGCGAACATAAAGGGAAAGGATGGTCAGTCTGTAAATAATGTTTATCAAATTATTTCCAATAGTTCGCTGAATTCACTGCAACACGAGAATGTCTTGGTTATTTCTGATGAGAGTAATGCCGACATCGGACAATTTGTTCACAGTAATAACAAATATATTATAATAAACAACGAGAACGAAGACACAAACAATCAAATTCAACCAATTGAAATAGTAACGAATCATATTCCCCACAATTCGCGAATAAAAGTTGAAGTTAAAGACGAAGGACACGCGACAGCTGATGAAATTTACGACGAAGTTGAAAGCAACATGGAGCGTATTTACGAAGGAATCAACAGCGATGACGAGTCAACAAGTCAAAAGAGTTCCAGACTCAATAAAAAATTAGAACAAATTGCAGTCCTACAAAGAGGAGATTCGATTTTAAATAATAAGAACGTCGATAATGATGTGAAAAGTATGTTGAGGAACAGTAGATCCGACGACAGTGTCAATGAAGAGATTATAATCGATGATGATGATGAAGAAGAAGAGGAAGAAGAAGAAGACGACGAAATTGATATTGAAAATACGAGTGTAAAGGGAACCGAGGAATTAACAAATTTCGAAGCCGCCCTACAACGCAAGAAGAAAGCTCGCGAGGAAACCATGAAATCAATCGAGAGATTCATCTCCGATTCAGTCAACGAATCACCCGAAAACGATCTCACATCGGAAGCAAAATTCCCAAATGGAAATACACCAAAAAAATTGAAGAACGGCAAATTTAATATCAAATTCACCGAAGAAATTGAAGACATCTCGGACATTATGCGCGATTTAGGTGAGAAACCATCGGAAGATTGTATTCTAGAAAATTACGAGAGCAGACCAGTTATTCGTTTGGAGAGAAGTCTACACAAAATCATCAAAACTGAACGTGTCAGTAATTACGATAGTGAAGAAAATATTTCCGATCAACTAATAACAATCCCATCAAAATTACCCCTAAAAACCGAACATTCCGAAATATTAATCACCAACGTAATTGACGACTATCAAAACGAATCAGACGATAACTATCACGAAGAACAATACCAAATTATCGAAAATCAAGATAACTTTCAAAAGAAAGATATGTCAAGACGAGGAATAAAACGAACACGTGTCTCAGAATCGGAGGAGATTCTCGATTCCACCGATCCTCAATATACTCTAAAACTAAAACTCCAACAGCAAAAGGGTACAATTTCCAAACTCACCGATCATTTATCAGCCTACAAGGACATGGAGAATAAAATGCAGGAAATCAATGACGAACTAAAATTAAAGAATCGTGAAATTGTCATCTTATCCGCAAAATTGAATCGAAAGGAAAATATCGAGGAGCGTAGTGATAGAAATTTCGCCGCATTACACGCCTTAATAAAAGATCTCACGCAAAAAGTGAAAACAATCGAGGACGTCAATAGAAGATTATCGCGTACAATTTCCGTGGAGAATCAAAATAAAAAGAATTTAGAATATCAAGTACGAAGTCGTGAGAAAACAATCAAGGAATTAAATTGGAAAGTTGATAAGGCATCGAAATTACTCGAACGTGCCGAAAGAAATGCAAACAATTACAAACGTCGTGTTAATAATATGCGTTCATTGCTAAAACGTAAAAATTTCGATCTCGTTCACGATAAACAATCATCATTCGATGTTTTATTTGCCGATTACGTGAAACATGAATTTTCCGAGAAATCACTACAAATGTCTTATGAAATAAGAAAATTGTGCGGACCTGACGGCTATGAAAAATTACTTGGTTACAATTTTCCCCTACCATCATTAAGGACACTCAAAAGAAGAGTCACCAAACCCCTAACATACGAAAATGGATCAAAATCACTAAATTCAACACTAGACAGCACTAATATCGAATCAAGTTTACTAGACGCCATTACTTTAGATCCATATTATGAAAATGTGACTAAGAAACCATTGGAATCGAGTGTAATTACGGGTACGGTACAAGATATATTCAATGAAGATGACAATATCGAAGAAATGAGTGACAGCGAAGTGATGAGTGAAAGAGAATTGAAAGAACATCTTTTCAATTTTATGAATGTTAAATAATTCGTTCGTGCCTGAAAGAAAGAAAAAAAAAACTTGAGAATAAAAGCATTTTCGAAAATTTGTGTAAATATTTGAATAATGCAATTTGTACAAAAAGTGAAAAAGTGTGTCTTCAGTAATTAAATCAATAGTTGAGTGTAATATTTTATTCGTGAAATTTATTTTCAAACTTGACTCAATTGATAGAAATAATTAGCAAGCACTTTTGTTCCTTCGATGTAATTTTTCAACGATATGTTCTCATCCTCCGAATGAATATTAGCATCGTCATTTGCCAAAGGTAATACGAGAATATTTTTTCTAGGAAATATTTTCCTCAAGTGCAAAACAATCGGAAAGCCTTGTCCATCGCGTATCAAATTCGCCTCGTCCTTAAAAACCTATTAAGGAGATTCAATATCAATGGTAAAAATATAAAAAATTAGAAAATTATAAATTTACGAATTTCTATTTTAAGAATCAATTTTTTTTTAAATCACATTTTTTTTAAAAAAACAAAATTGTATAATATTACCAGAGAGGTATTACAAATAAAAGAAAATTTCTATAATGATAATTTATATTGAAACTCCTTTGAAATTTTAGACTGATTTTTAATTCAGGGTGAATACATGTCAGTAAAGTCAGGAAAAAAAAATTTTCTCAGAGAAATTTAGAAAATTGAGAATTTTTTCAACTTATTTTCAAAAATTCCGACTTGTTCGACTTTTTTTTCAAGTATGTAACTCATTTCGATTTTTATAGTGCAAAAAATTAACTGTAAACAAATCATTCAAAAATTATTTTTGAGAATCATTTTTTTATTTAAATTTTCGAAATGTACAATTAACAAAAATTTGAATAGTTGAAATTTTGTAAAATTTAATTGAAAATAATTAATTTATTTCAGGTATTTTGTTACAATTTTTAAAAATCAACTTTTGAAGAATTTTAATTGCAAATTTTCTAAATAATTTAATTTTCTGAAATTTTAATGAAAAAACTTTAAACATAGATTTAAAAATGAAAATTAGCTTTTAATTTTCTTAAATTTAGTAAATTTTCAGTACTTTCAATTATATATTTCCGAAAATTCAAATATATACAAAAAATAATAACATTTTAGAATTATTTTTAACATTTTGGAGAAAAAAAATCATGTTCAAAATATTTCATTAAAATCAGGGTTGCCACAGGTCAGGGAAATCAGGGAAAAGTCAGGGATTTTTATTAAAGTAACTGAAAAAAATTGAATTTTGGAGAAGTTACAAATGATTGAAGAAATTCAATTATTTTCAAAAGTAATAAAATTCTTCTCAGAAATTAAATTATTTTCAAAATTTTAAAAAAATTCTCGTCAAAATTTCAATTATCTTTAAAAATAATAAAATGCTTCTCCAAATTTCAATTATTTTCAAAAATTTTAACAAATTTTTGTCAAAATTTCAATTATTTTCAAAAATTTTTCTCAATTCAATGATTTCCAATATCAACAGTATCAATTCAATTTTCCAAAAAAATTCAATTATTAAAAAAAAATTTAATCGAATTCTAAGCAAACATTAAATTATTTTCATAAATAATAAAAATTTCTCAGAAATTCAACTATTACAAATTTTTTATAAATTTTTTCGCAATAATTCAGTTATTTTCATAAATAATAACATTTTTTTACAAAAATTCAATTATTTTTATGAATAATAAAACTCATAATAGAATTTCAATTATTTTTAATACAATTGTAATTAAATTCCTCGAAAAATTTAATTTTTCTTAAAAATTTTATTAAAATTCCTTGAATAAAAATTGATTTAAAAATGAAAATCAGTTCAAATTTTAGATAATAATTGAATATTAAAACCATTATAGCATGCATTTTTAAAAATAATTGATAATTGAATTCTTTCAAAGAATTTTAATAAAATTTTTGAAAATAATTGAAATCCTGTGTAGAATTTTATTAATTTATGAAAGTAATTGAATTCTTGCAATGAATTTTTTAAATTTTTTTTTTAAATAATTGAAATAATGTAAAGAATCTTATTATTTATGAAAATAATTGAATTCCTGTAATGAATTTTATTAAATTTTTTTTAATTAATTGAATTCTTTTGAGAACTTTTATTAAAATAGTAGATTTCGAAAATATTTGAATTTTAACGAAGAATTTTATTATATATTCGTGAAATGTAATTAAATTCTTGCAAAAAATTTTAAAAAATTATTCCATTTTTCTACGAATTTTCTTTAAATTGTATTATAAATAATTGAAATCCTCAGAAAAATTTTATAATTCATGAAAATAATAGAATTCTTACAACGAATTTTATCAATTTTTTTTAAATAATTAAATTCATGTGGAAAATTTTATTACTTGTAAAAATAATTGATTTCCTGCAACGAATTTTATTACATTTTATTTAAGTAATTAAATTCTTTTGAAAACTTTTATTAAAATAGTAAATTTTGAAAATTTTTGAATTTCAGCGAAGAATTTCATTATTTGTGAAATGTAATTTCATTCTTGCAAAAATTTTTTGAATATAATTTCATTTTTCGAGAAATTTATTTTAAAATGTATTAAAAAGATTAAAAATAATTGATACCCTGTGAAGAATTTTATTGTTTATGAAAATAATTGAATTCTTGCAACGAATTTTATTATAATTTTTTTTTTTTTTTTGAAAAATTTTATGGAAATTAAAATTTTTATAAAACATAAAGATACCAATTACTCCGAGTCGAAGACTCGGAATGATTGTTGTCTTCATGTTTTATAATAATATTCTTATAAGTTGTTGAATTTAAAAAATTTTTGAATTTGAATGTTTTGAAGAATTTTCATTACTATGGAAAAATAATAATTTAATACTTATTTAAAAATTTAATTATTGATGTTTGCGAATAATTTTATAATTTAAGAAATTCGTAAGTAATGTAATAGAATGTTTTTTTTGAGCATATAATAATTTTTAGAGTGAATTAGAATATTCTTTAGGGTCAGGGAAAAAGTCAAAATTTTCTCTGGAAATCAGGGAAAAACAAAATTAATTTTTTGTGGTAACCCTGTAAAATTCATCAAAAAATTAATAATTAGTTTTTTTTAATCCTAATACAAAAACTCTTTTAAAAAATTCAATTGTTTTCGAAAAATTGCATTAAAATATTTTTAAAAACTACTTAATTCTTAGAATTTTGTTATCATAATTTTTTAAAGATTTAATTATCTTCGAATAAAGCAAATAAAAATGTACTTTTTTGGATTTATTAAAATTTTGGAGAAATCAGGGTCATATTTATAATTAAAATTCTTCAAAAGTTTGATTATTTTTTGAAAATTGTATACTTTAATAAACTTAAGAAAAAAACACGAACAGTTACAATTATTATAAAAAATTGAATTTTCGTATTTAAATAATTTAATTCTTGAAGAACTTTCGGAAAACTATTTAAAATAATTGATTTAGAGACGAAGTTTAGTTGAAAATTATAGAAAATAATTGAATTCAGTAAGAGTTATAATTGTAATTTTTAGAAATTATTAAATTTCATAAATTTGAGTCATTTTCCGTAAACTTTTATATTTTCCTGTGAAAAAAATTTTGTCAGGGAAAATAATATTAATGTCAGTAAATTGATAAACTGAAACTTGTGACCACCCTGTAATTATTAAAAAGTATTTTTTTAAAGTACTTGTTTTGCGGCTGTTTTTGCCGCCTTATAATTCCAATGTGAATAGTCTTCTGACCATGGATCCAAAGTATCATGAACTTTTACATTTACATTATTAGGTGTACATCGGGGATGAAGAATTTTTTTTATATATTCCATTACCAAAGCAGAAACTTGTTCGTGTGTTTGATAAGGAACAATGCTAAAATGTAAAAAAATACCATTAGTTGATATCAAAAAAAATTTTCTGTTTCAACGAAATTTTTCGATTTAATTTCTCTTGTATTAATCATTAATTTCTATAAAAAAATATATATATATATATAAATATAATTTATAAATAAAATTTACCATATAGAAAATCTGGCATTAACTTTCTTCGGTATCGCTAATTGAATTTTCGGATCGCATTTAATTGACGAGTCGATAAAATGTAAATTAAACGAAGGATGCCGCCAAGTGTTCATTAAAGTTGGAGTCACTTTTTCGTTGTGGATAAAATTTGCAATACCTGAAGTTTTCTTATAATCGTGGAAATTAATTTTTATCTTGTGATAAATTTCTTCTTCCTCGGGTGTAACGGACATTACGTTTTTATAAAAATTCGGCACTAAAATACGACCCGCTGAATCGACGAGATTATTGAGAATAAAAATTAAATCGTCCATTGGTTCGTATATCATTCCACCGTAATCGCCACTGTGGAAATTTTTCAATGGTCCGTCTATTGTTATGTCAAAGTAACAAACTCCACGAAAGCCGTACATAATGCAGGGATAATTTTTTCCCAACCATTTGCCCTCGTTCAATAAAATACAATCTATGTTCGTCAAGAAACTTTTCTTCAAATCTTGCAAACTCTCGGGAATCGATTTACTGCCACACTCGTGCATCGATTCTGAAAATTGATTTTTTCTGTTACTTCTAAGTTTTTTTACTTTCAAATCAATGAATGTAAATTTATTCTCTTATCTTAAATTTTAATTTGTCTAAATTTTAATTTGCCCAAATTTTATTAATATAAACTAATTTTATTTTGAAAGAAAATAATTTAATTTCAATGTAACTCACCGCATAAAATTTTGATATTAATTGGCAATTTAATTTGCAATTCCTTGAAGCATTCGATGGCGTGTAGAAAGCACAAAAGAGGTCCTTTCATTTTCGCAGTTCCTCGACCGAATAATTTTCCGTCCCTTTCGGTCAGTTCGAAAGGATTCGATGTCCATTTTTCCAGTTCGACTTTTGAAACATCCAAGTGACAGTAATAAAATAGCGTCTTTTTGTTAGAATCATTGCCAAAAGTTCCGAGCAAAAGAAATGGAATTTTCACCTAAAAATAAAAAATTTTGTATTTCTTCCGAAAAATCAGATTTATTTTTAATTAAAAAAAAATTCAAGTGAATAATCTTAATTAGTTATTTTCTATTTAAATTTTCACTACTTCTTCGGTTTTTTCGTGATTTCCATAATTCCCGATATTCTTCAGTGAAACAGAGAAACCAAGTTTCTTCAATCGATTTTCTAACCAGTGAATTAAAGTTGACATTTGCTTTTCGGCTTTACGATTTGAACTCACATTGGGAATTCGAACAATTTCTCTCAATTCTTCCACGTACTTTTTTTGATTAGCGTCTATGTGCTTGTAGCACTTTATAATCTCAGGAGCAGTTGGCATTTTCGAAAATTATAAAAACTAGAAACACTACCTAGAAACTTTCAACGCTTTCAACTAACAGTTTTATTTTTTATTAATTTTATTATAATCTCCGTCATTTGTTTTCAACGAAAGAAAATAAAACAAAAATTAAAATTCGATATTTCAAAAATATTAAATTGAAAATTCGATTTTATTAATAGTTATTGATAGTTATAAATTATAAAAATCGGGTATATCAGTAAAATATAAATATATCAATTAATATTTTTTTTACAACGTAAAATGACAAAAAAATGTTAAATTTAGTATAATTTTTATTGAATTGCAAAAAAATTGTATAATTATATATTGCAATAGTTTCATTTAATTGAAAAATAATGAAAAATCTAATTGTAAATTTACGTGACGGTTTTATTTTCCTTTTTCTTATCTTTTATCTTAATGTAATTTGGATCTTCCATTTTATTACATTCACACCATGGAGTAATCGATTTATCACATATTAAAGCAATATTTAAAACTGTCACTGGACTGTCTGCTATTGTCAGTTTAATAACTTCCTCTAATTTATAGGAGACGTCGTGTAATCCTGTCTGGCGATCTCGTTTCCTCGTCACCTCGCGCTGATTGTAGCACTTGGTCATGTCCCTTTTACGACGATTTATATCGTGCAGGTGCCTATAAAGTCGGGTAAATGAAAATTATTTTTAAAAAAATTCGAGAAAACCGGATTAATAACTTTTAACTTAATTAAAATCTTCGGCACTTATTTTAAAAAAGTCAAATTAATTAATATCTTTTGACTTAATTAAAATCGTCGAAACTTATTTCAAATAAACTGAATAAATATTTAAGATAAATTTAAAATAAACAGAAAAAATTGAGGTTTCTTAGGAGCAAAAAAAGATATTTCTTACATAAAAGTATTACGAGAAGTGGTTGAAATATTTTGCGGAAGAGTCACATTGAGTTCTGCTTCTTTCAGTCTTACGTAAAATTCATCATCCTCTAATCCCCAGCCCCAATATTTATTTGACATTCCATCAACTTTTATAAAATGTTCCCTAGAAGAAAGCAAATTTTACATTTTTTTTTTATTAAAACAAAATAAATAAAAACAAGTGTTGATAATAAAATTTGAACTCACCGTTTGACGAGTAATATTCCGCCAACGAAAGTATCATAATGATATCGTGGATGAAGCTTAGGCGATGATACGTGAAAAGGTCCCGTTTCCGGGAATGAGTACAATAATTCATCATTCATTGGCAGTAAATCAACGTCATGCATTGCTATATAATCGTAATTATTTTTCACTTCTAAAAATCCTACATTTATCAAAGACGCTCGATTAAATCTATATTTGTCTACCTGAAAAAAAAATTAAATTTTTTTTAAATTATAGGTATTCAGAAAAATATTAGAGGTAACAGAAATTTAATTTAGAAAATTTAGACAAAGCAGAAGATGAATAAAAATTAAACTAAGTTTCAGATTCATTTTCTTCTGAAGTCAATTACCTGATTTAAAATAAATATATGATAATCTAAATTTTGTTTGTCTAAAAATTTCTTCATATGAGGAGCAAATTTTAGCAGCTCATCAAAGCGATCTCTAAATGGCACAAGTATTGCTAATTGATGTTTCGATTTTTTTCTATTTCTCAAAATATTCGACGATTTAAGACTCCGACTCCTGTCTCTTGCCAATGGACCAATGTTGTATTTGGTTTCATCTGAAATAAAGAAACATCTTATTTTTACAATAAAAACACAACAATCTTCTATCTTCTTCTATATTAATAATCGTTGTATTTCAGTAATCTGTTCGCAGTTTGAAGTTACTTGTTTGCTTTTTTGTTTCTAAACATTTTCTTTTTAAATATTTTAAATTTTAAAATTAATGTATAGAAAATTATCGAATTGTAGCAAAGAATTTTATCCAAAAAAATTTGATGATAATAGAATTCTTTTGAAGAATTTTATTATTTAGGGAAATAATTGAATTCTCGTGTAGAATTTTTTTAAAATTTATGAAAATTCGAAATAAATTCTTTTAATTTTCTTTTAATAGTGGAGTTTCTTTAATAATTTTAATCAAAAATTTTTTAAATTATTGAATTTTATGAACAATTTCTTTCATGAAATTTTATTCAAAATTGTATTAAAAATAATTGAATTTTTTCAAAGAATTTTACTATTTATAAATAAAATTGAATTGTTTCGAAGGATTTATAAAAATTTTAGAAAATATAATGAAATTCTTTTGAAATATTTTATAACGAATTAAGAACAAAATTGAATTCTTTCGTGAAATTGTTTGAAAATAATTGAATTTTTGCAAAGATTTTACTACATTAAAAAAAATAATTGAATTGTTTCGCAGGATTATTAAAAAACTTTTCAAAATTGAATTCTTTCATGAAATGTTATTAAATTTGTATTAAAAATAATTGAATTGTTTCGAAGGATTATTAAAATTGTAGAAAAAAATAGTCTTCGTTCGTAAAATGTTATTAAAGTTTTGTTTCAAAATAATTGAATTATTGCAAAAAATAATTAAATTCTTAAGAAGAATGTTAGTATTTATGAAAATAATTTAATTCTTGCGAAGAATTTTATTAAAATTTTTGAAATTAATAAACAAGAATAATTAATTAGTTAATAATTGAATTTTTTCAAAATTTGAATTTTAAATTATTCAAAAATTCATATTGGAAAATAAAAAATTTTGTGATTTGCATAATAATAAATTGAATAACACGTTCCACCCGCGTAACATTTGCTAGTTAATATAACAATCAACAATTAACGATAATTAATAAACAAAAATATAAATAAAAAGGAACAAAAAGAAAATACAAATAATCAACTTAACCTCAAAATTCAACATAACAATGTAAAGAAAATGATTGTATTTCCAAGTTTTTGAATAATTATTTTATTTATTTGAACTTACCATTGCTTATTGGAGAAATACTTATCAAACAGGTGATAATAAAAGTAATGACAATACAAATGAGTACATATTTAAATCTCAAATTTTTCCAAAATCTCTCCATGTCTCCATGTCATTGATTCGTTTAGCAACAATACTGATTATTTAAAATTTTGTAAACTTCGTCAAAAAATTTCCATTCTCGTCAATTAAAATTGTAATCACAACAATAAAAAAAATATTGTAAACATTAAAAAAAATTGTGTTTTCTAAATTTGACAGTTTTGCTTGCAATTTTGACAACTTATGGAAGCTGCCATTTTGAATTTTCCTCTTCAAATTTTGCTCAAAAGACGTCTCTAGTTTCGCAATTGGCGCCTAAATTTGAAATTAAAAAAAAAGAAGAAACGATTAATTTTCATCTCTTTCTGTGCAAATTCATTTAATTCAATTCATTCAATTGAAGAAATTTTCTAAAATTAACAAATCTAAATTGACATGTGAAACTGACACACAATATTTGTAAATTAATATATTACACATTAAAACTAATGACTTTAAAAAAATATGTTAGACGTTTTAACCAATTTTCTGAATTATAATTAAAAAAAAAATATGGAAGAGTGTAATTTTGCCTTTGACAGAGAAAAAAAGCAAACTATAGAAAATTATCAAGATGGAAATTATCATATCCTGTATCGTTGGTTGGATAAAATTCCATTTTCTAAACGACCGAAAACTTTAGCTCGCGATTTTTCCGACGGTGGTGAGTACACTACTTTTTAGAATTTAAAAAAGAATTAATAATAATACTTTTATTCCCTTCGTTCAGTTTTAATGGCCGAATTATTAAAATTACACTATCCTCAATTACTTGAAATTTACAATTGCATACCAACAAATAATGTTAGTAAAAAAAAGGACAATTGGAATACATTGAATCGAAAAGTATTCACAAAAATTAATTTAACATTAAGCAACAATACTATTAGTCAATTAGCGAATTGCCAGCATGGAACAATTGAGAAATTACTATTTTCTCTGCTCGATCAAGTTACTAATGATAATTATTCTTCACGAGTTCATGAACCAGAAATTGAAATTATCGAAAGTGGTAAAGAATTTTTTTCCTCTCTTGGCAGATGAAAATTTTGTTTTAAACATTTTTTTTCTTCAGTTCATGTTGAGGACACAGAGACAGAGGATGTATGTCAGGAACCAGCGAAAATTGCTTCGAAAATTCCGAAATTATTGAAAAAGGAGAAATTCTACTCATTTTTCTCGAAAGCATGCTCGAAAGTGGGGAAAAATATTTTTAATCATCTCATGACTTTTTTAATGCAGGCCTCTTGTATTTGGCGATGGTTCGTCAATTTGCAGATAATAAAGGGAGACATGGAGATTGAAAATAAGTACCTGAATGGAAATAATTACTTTTACGAAACCAGTAGGAAATTATAATATTATACTCTTTATAATTATTAATTCAAATTTCCTTTTTCTTTGAATTTTCTTTCTTTATCGTTTTTTTGAGTATCTTTTTTTATTTCAAGTTTTTCTTTAAAATTTCTCATTTCGAGTAATAATTAAATTTCTCTAATATTTCCTATTTCAAGTATTTTTCTAAAAAGAAATTATTTTTTTTAAAGAAACAAAAATCTTCTCCTCAGGAAGTGAAACACATTTCAATGAAGAAATTGAAGACCCTGCGGCTCGTTGGGCTTATGAGCAATTAGTTGAAGAAATTCGAGAGAAAGAGGATATAATTACAACTCTAAATCACAAGGTTGCATATCTCGAGGGAACGATGAGACAGAAAGATTTAAGAATTGCAAATTTGATGATCCAAGTCACCAATGAATCACTGGAAGTTCCGTCGAATTTAAAAAAACACTCTTCCATTTACGGATCCATGAAATTGAGACCGAAAACACATAATTCACAATTTACAAATTCACACAAAAATTGAATTTTTTTTCCCAACAAACTAAAATTTTTATTAAGAAATACTTTCTAAAGTTTTGCTATTAGAATATTTTTTTAAAATTTCTTTACAAAACTGTCTTTTTGATCTGAATTTTCAAGATTTGTATAATAAAAAAATAAATGGCAAATCTTTTTTTAATTAAATCCTTCTTTGCAATAAAATTAAAACACAGTTTTTTCCAGTATTTTAATTCTCTATTTCATCGATTTTTCAAAACATTCTTGTCTGATTTTTCACTTGTTGAATTAATTGAATTAATTTATCAATTATTTTCATTCTCGTCGATTACTTTTTCCTTTTTTTTTTGGTTTCTTTGTTTGTCAAATATTTGTTATATTTTAATTTTATCAATTAAACGACACTTCTAATTGGCCTTTCACTTCCGATATGACTACTTTCCGTAGAATACATTCCAGGGACAGTGAGAATATCACTTTTTGTTAATTTACTAAAAGCTGGAAAATCGTAGACGAATTCAAAGTCATTCGAAGAAGTTTGTCCATAGTCCCTCTTGTAATTGCTAATATTTCCAGAATTTGGTAGTCGAGCAAATTGCTTCGGCAATCGTCTATATAATTTTTTCTCCACAGGAATAAATTGATATTTTCGATCTTCGCCATCAAATTTCTTGTTATTTTTCGAAATTCTGTCTCCATTGCGAAAAAAATCACGATGAGTTAATTGATTAGTTGTTGTATAGATATCCAATAATTTTTGAAAACTACTCTCGTCGATAGAAATGAAAAATTCATTGTCCCTTTTTCGATGAGGAATATTTTTTATCCCTTGAACATACTCAGTAGAAGTGGAAAATGGTAGTTTTAATTTTCTATACACTGTACCTGAAAAAGTTTGTTATAAATTATAATAAACTAATTCGAAAATTATTAATTATAGCAAATTCAATTTTTCCGATTTGGAAAAAAAGAAATGAAAAAAACTTACCAGAAGTCGTGTTATTTTTAAGAGGTTTGACCGGATTTCCCAAATATTTTTCATGCAGTCGTTTCAAATTTAACTCCGAATTGATAGAAATTCGTCGATGGTAATTAACACCTTCGGGGTTTTTATATCCAAACGAAGTCTCATAAGTAGAAGGGTATTTTTCTCGAAAAATCGAAATTTGAAGATCTTTTCTAACATCTTTATTAAAATAAATATTCTCAACTGGACGATCCACAATATTTCTTCTCCCAAACGAGCGATCGTATGAACTCCTAAAATTATCCAACTGTGAATTCATATTTCTCTAATTTACCAAAAATGTTTCTGAAAAATTTAGAAAATTATTTCAACTCAAAAAAATTACTTCGATAAATAAATAAATTAAAAATATAATACAATAAAGCAAACTTGACAAGGAAAATAACTTTCAAATTTACTCCGAACGATTTAAAGTTGTCACAAATAGAAAAACAAGCGAATACTAAAAAATTAAGGTTTCTTCGTAAATAATAAGAAATGATAGAAATTTAAGTAACTCTGCATTCTTCAGTTTTATTACACACTCGGAATAGCTACATTTTCCTAAAAGTTCCAAAATCATGAAATTTATGCATTGTATAATTTTTTATAATTTTTTTGTTATTTTACTTTTTGCTTTGCTCTCGACAATACATATTATAGAACTAACAAATAGACGAAGTAACAAGCGAACAAGTCGCTCTAGAATCGAAAGACGCACAGTTAAAAATTGCATGTGATAATTGGAAATCTATATTTGAAAATTGCTATTGTTTAGAAAAGCGTTTCAATGTTTTTTTTGTTGTTTCATTCTTTTATAATAGAAAAAACAGTACAACTGTTGTTCACCCTCAAAAATCGAGCTACCAACATCATTACTAATGATGTTAAATATTGAAGATAATATCCTAAATTGCAATCTCACTTTTCTCTTTTGACTAACTTTTTTTGTTTTGTTAGACTATCGCCTATACAATCTTAAGTTAAAATTCGATTAGAAAAAAAAAGAAAAGAAAAAAATGAATAAAATAGTCATCAATGGTATACTATCGATCTCACTTAAAAGTCATTCTTACTATTTAAAGTCAATATTGTTTAAATTAAATTGGCTGCTGACGAATTAATGACGCAGCCAATTTTAAATCATAGACGCAAGTAAAAAGGAATAAAAAAAACAATTTTTTTTTATCGGAATTAACGGTTGTTGAAATAAATTGATGATTCTCAAACAGACAATCCTAAGAGGTAGTAGAAATCTCTTGATCAACTGTGCCGAAATCAGTTCTTCCGACCACCTCGTCTCTTCATTGAAGAGGTGCATTGAGGACAGTACCATTTCCCTTTCGGCGGAGAGGTGATTCCTACGCAAGGGTAATGGAACCACTCGAAGGGGCACTGAAATTAAAAATGTCAATTAATTTCTACTTAATATTATTTCAATTTAGCTAGTTTCTATTTAACCGAATTTAATTTCGAAAAATTTCTATTTAATAATCTATTATTTATATAGGAGCGTTAAAGAAATGTTTAAATTTCTCTATAAAGAGAGAAATATTTCCAGGCTTCGGATAAACTTTAAAATATGAAAAACAGTCGTTTTAGTCGATTTAAGTTACGAAAAAAGTTGAAAAAATCGTTTATTTTATTTGACTTTTTCCTGATTTCCAGAAGTCTTTAACTTTTTCTCTTATTCTGATAACAACTTCAAAATTTATAACAATTCAGTTTTTGTAAAATTCAATTATTTTTAAAACATTTTATCAAATTTTTTCTGTATATTTCTTTAGTAACACGATTATTAAAATAGAATTGAAATAAAATTCTTCAAAATGTAACATATTTTATAAAAAAATTTCACGAAATTTACAATTGTTTGACAATTTTTCAATTAATTACTTTCGAATTAATTAGTTTTTCAAAATTTCTGAATTGAATTACATTAAACTGCAACAAATATTTAAATACTTATAACTTATTTTTCTTACTTTAACTCATATTTTTCCAAACTCAAATTTCATTACTTTTAAAAATTGTAACTGTAATTCTTACCATAATTTAATTATTTTCAAGAATTTACAATTAAAATTACTCAAAAATTTTTTATTTTAGCTTTCTGAACTTTAATTATTTGAAAAATTTCTACAAAAACTCTTTCAATATTCAATCATATCCTAGAATTTTTAATTCAAATTCTTTCTAAATCAATTATTTTTCATAATTTTTAGAAAATCTTCATTTTTTTGAAAATTTAAAAAGGAAAAAGATACTTGAAAAAAAATTTCAAATTCAATTGTTTTCAATTTAATTCTAATGAAATTTGATTATCTGGAAAATTTTCAATCAATTTTATATTCGAAAAATTAAATTAATTTCAAAAAAATTTCTACTACAACTCTTCCAAAATTCAATTTCCAGAATTTATATTTCAAATTCTTTTCTAATGAATTATTTTTAATAATTTTGAGAAAGTTCATTAAGAATTCAACAATAAAAAAAATCCATTTCAAATACAATTTAAATTCAACTGTTTTTGATTCAGTTTTACAAAATTTCAATTATTCAAAAACTTTTATAAAAAAATAAATAAATGTTCAAAAATTCAAAAAAATTACTAACAAATGACTAATTTTAAAAAAATTTCAAAGAATTAAGTTCTTTAGATTTTATAATTAAAATTATTTAAAATTCAAATCTGCAACAAATTTTAATTTGATACCTTTTGAATTGCAATTATTTAAAAAATTTCTTCAAAAACTCTTCCAATATTAAATTATTTTCTATAATTTCTAACCCAAATTCTTTTCAAATCCAATTATTTTTAATAACACCAAAATACATCTTTTAATATATTTTTAATAACATTCAGATAGTTAATTTTTTTAGAAAATTTAAAAAAGAAAAAGAAATTCTTAAGACAGAATTTTAAATTCAATTTAATTTTAATAAAATTTGATTAATTGAAAATTTTCCAATTAATTTTATATTCAACAAATTAAATTAATTTCAAAAAAATTTCAATTAAAAAAATATTTCTTCTACAACTCTTCCAAAATTCAATTTCTAGAATTTTTAATTAAGATTCTTTTCTAAATAAATTCTTTTTAATAATTTTGAGAAAGTTCATTGAGAATTCAACAATAAAAAAAATCCATTTCAAATACGATTCAGTTTTACAAAATTTCAATTATTTGAAAACTTTTAACTGAATAAATGTTCAAAAATTCAAAAAAATTACTAACAAATAACTAATTTAAAAAAATTTTCGAAGAACTAAGTTTATTTAGAATTTTTAATTAAAATTATTTAAAATTCAAATCTGCAACAAATTTTAATTTGATACCTAATAAAAAATTTCTTCAAAAACTCTTTCAATATTCAATTTCTAGAATTTTTAATTAAGATTTGACTACAAATAAATTATTTTGAATAATTTTCATAAATTGTTTCGAGAATTCAATTGTTAAAATTGAAAAATTCAATTGTTTGTATAAAAATTTCAATTGTAACTTTTCACAGTTTTTTTAATTTAAGTTTTTAAGGTGAAGAAGTTAATTCAAGCACAGTTAAGGTTTCCAATATTTTCAATGTTCAACAAAAACTATAATTTTTGCAACAAAATGTAAGACACTTTTGACGGAAAAAATAGTTATTTTCCACACCTTGAAAATAAAAATAAGTAGTATTCTATGTATATCAAAAAAGTGATACTTTTTGCAGTATGTAAAATAAAGGCGAAATAGTCAAATTGAATGAAAATAAATCGAAAAAAATGGTATATTTTGATAATATTCGAAAGAGTAATATTATCCGAAGCCTGTAAAATAAAGGCGAAATAGTCGAATCGAATTAAAATAAGTCAATGAAAAAAATGGGATTTTTTAGAAAACTTTAACTAGAAAATAACTTACATCAGAATTATCACAGGCAACCATGTCTCCGTAAGATACCTGGTTGCATATGCAATATCTCGGTTCATTTGGATCGTAAGTCCAATCAGGATTATCTGAATCCGTGACTGTATTCGCTGTCGTTACAACCGGGGGTGTAACAGGTTGTTGAACAGCGGCTGTAATAACGCTTGAATTTGGAACTGCAGCAGCAGTAACTTTTCTGTGAACAAATAAATACTTTTTTATTAATAATCTCTAGAGTAATAAAAAAATCAATTTTTTATAACTCCTAATTTTCTATAAATGATCAAAATTAAAATTCTCAAAAATTGATACTTTTGAGCTATTTATACAATTAATTAATTATTAATAAATTCCTAATTTTCTAATAATTATTAAATCATTTTTAGTTATCGTTTTTCTTTATGAAAATCAAGATAAAAGAATTTATTTACTTTTTGTGCTTTTTGGTAGTTTCTTGAATAGCTGCTATAGCAGTTTGAGCCGCACCGGCTAATTCGCGACTAAATTCAGCAGCATGAACGCCACCAGTGTTGATGGCTTCATAGCTGGCTTTTAGACTCGCAGTTCGTCTTCCTTGTTGCATTTGTTGTGTTGCGGCAATTGCCTGCGACGCTGCAGCTGCAATGGCATTTCCACCAGCTCCAATATGACCCAAATTATAACTCACTGAACCAACGGAATTTGCTATTGCCGTTTGTGCAGCGGGAAGACTTGCCGGTGGGATAATTGCTCCAGAATTCGCTGACGCTGGACGTGGCTCGGGAAGACTTTGAGGAATTTTTTCAGCAGCCGCTAAACGTTTCTCTGCCGACGCTGAAGATGCATTCGAATCCCTCCTCTTTTCAGAACGAGCTAAAAGAAATACTAAAATTATCATTTCCGAAAAAAGAAAATTAAAAAAAATAAGAAAAGGGGAATAAAAAGATAAATAATATATCTTACAATGACTATGATTGTCGCGAGATCTACTCGAAGAAAAGCTATAACGATTTTCTTTTTGACTACTATTCGTGGCGGGTTGATCCAATTCCAGGGATCTCTTCTCCAAAACTTCCGTTATACCCTTATTATCAGCCTCTAGTTCCATTTTAAATTTATGAAGTTCCTGATCTAATCTTCTCAAATACCTATCTACCAAATCATACATTTGATTCGCTAAATGAACTTTTTCATCGGCATCCTCAAGTGTCTTGTAATATTCCTTTCTTATTGTTTCATATTCCCCGTCTTTCTCGTTTGGCTTCATTTTCTTGGCATTTGAGAAAAATACTTTTACTTTCTTCTCCAAACTGTCCATTGAATCTGAAAATAAATTAACATCTCAATAACATTTTACCTAAAAAACATACAAAAAAAAGAGATTCAAATGAAAACATACTCTGTACACCTAAGTCCATCTCTCTCATTTCCGTAAATCGATCCCTTAACTCCTGAGGAAGGTGCTCGATCACTGAGAACAAAACACGAGGTCAAAACATAACCTACAAACGATTACAATTTCTTGCGAAAAATGTTAAAAATTTGAAAACACGACAAAATAAAAAATAATAAATTTAAAAATTTCTTTAATTACTAAATAATAGTCCTATTTTTTCTCAAAATACAGTGTTTTTTCATTTTAAAAAATCAAAAATGAAAAGAAATTTGAATACGAATCATTCCAAAAACATACACCTAACCTAAAAATGTAATAAATCGAAAAAATGCCAATAAATGTTAATTATTTCGGAAAAATCTTTCAATTACTTAAACAAATCAATCTCATGAGTGTAAAAATAGAAAATAGCAATTTACTCCATAAAAATTAAATAATTCCAAGAGAGGAATATATTTGAAAAAGGCAGTAGTTTACAAAAAGTTGTGTCATTCTTGCTCGCTAGATTTTTACTTACTTTCAACGTAATCCTCCAGGTAAAGCATTTTGAATTATTAAAAATACTATTCTTCACTATTTAATTAACAATTATATACAATTTTCTAAAGCAATGAGCTTGTTGTTGTTTAGTAGTCGATGAAAATTGGAGCACACGATCTGAAGCGTCGTTACAGCAACTAATTCCCTTGTTGCACCCACTTTTTGATTGAAAAATAGTAATAATTTTCAAAATTTACACATATTATTTATATAATTTAAAAAAATAGACTATTTTAATTCTTGTAAATGTTATTTCTCCACTGTGTACCACCACGTGGCAGGGTTATTCGATAAATGAGATCAAAATACAGGCGTCAAGTTCTATCGACGCCATTTTAGCATCATTAGTATAATAGAGGCATCATAAAACTCAGCATTTTACCTTAATATTTATTTTAAAAAAAATATATGAATAAATTAAATAATAATTAATCGTTTCAACTAAAATTGATTAAATTTGTTATATTTTATTTATATCGAATAAGAATTCTATTTTGTTTGAAGTAAACGAAATAAATAATTTTGTTTGGTATGCGGAAATTGTTTTCAAGCTTTTAAGCGGGAAAATTTGAATTGAGTTTTGAAAATTAATATTTTTTGGAAAAATGAAAATTGATAATAAATTAAATTAATTTAAATTTTTTTGATAGTAAATTAATTATTGAAATATTAAAAATTTAAATATTTTACAAATCGTATTCGCTCGCTAGATATTTATTTATTGCTGTTTTTCTGAAAATAAATAAAAATACGAAACAATTATTTAATTTTGAATTTGAAAATAGATTCAAATATTTTTGATTCACAAATTATATTATCAATATTATAGTTAATTTTTTTGCATTATTTTATTTTATTACTTTTTCATTTTTTTACTATTTTTAAATTTTACTATTTTATTTATTTATAATTCTCTTTTTTGTTTTCTGTTTAGAAGAAAAATGATTCGTCGCAGTCCAACAAGAATTGAATTTCGAGTTGAGGATTTAGCGGAATATGATCAATTGAAAAAAGAACGCGATGGTAAAAAGGAAAATGATCGTCCTATGTTTAATCCATCATCATGGGGTGGAAAAATATCTCAAAATGAACTTCACGAAAGAATTGGATTTGTCTCACAATCAGTACCCGCAATTGTCGAGCGGCACAATATTTAAAAAAATGATTATAATTTAAAAAAAAATTTTTAATGTTTAAATTATATAATTAAGATTCTTTTTTAAATACCTAACAATAATGGCTAACTATGTAAATGATTATTATACAAATAAGTGATTAAACAACTGTTTTTCAGTACCTCACTTGTTTTTATTTTCAACGGTACTAAAATATAATTTTTTTCTGCTTTCGAAAATTTATCCATTACCTAATTATTGATATTGTTTACACCGATATGACACAACTTTTTTTTTATCAATTTTCAGTTAAACACAACCACGATTACATTACATTGTTTTTTCTTTCTTGAAAACATCGCAATTATTTTGATAATAATTTTACATATGAGCAGACTTATATTTTAATTTTTAATTATTGTTTTAGTATTATAGCTGTTTTTATAGAAGCAAAGAAAGAAAATAAAGAATGAAATGAAAAATTGAAAATAGTAAATTAATGTTATCACTGAATAAACTATTATGAAAAGTGAAGTAACTTAAAATTAAATTAAATACTTGTTCCATTAAAATAATTTTTTAAATTTTGATTTTAGATTTTTGAATTCTTACTTTTTTGAAAATATATTTTTTGAACAATTAAAGTTTGACCCTTTTTGTGTGCTTTATAGATGACTATTTTATCTAAACTAGTTTCATCAGTTTTTATATTTAGATTGATTGTTTCTGGAAGACCTTTAACGGCAGCATTAAAATAGATTTTTTCTATTATTTTCTGTCTTTTTAAATCTAGAACTCTTGAACATTAAAATTTTTCCAAACATTAGAAAATTAATTTACAATCCTTTATTGAAATAGAGGAAAGCTGGTACTTCTTTCCCTTCGCAATTTTTCTTCAAAAGCTCATAATTCTCAGGTTCCCAATTCTTCAATGTAGTTGTTGATATCGAACTGTAAAAAAAGGCAAAAAGTTATAATTATTATTAAAATTATTTAAGTAATAATTTAATTTTTATTTTATTTATTATATTTATAATTAATAATTAATATTTAATTACAGTAATTAATTTCGGTGCAAAGAAGAAAATAACGTACCATCTTTGAGGAAATAGGGCACATGCCGTTGGTACCATAAAGACGAGGCTGCAATAATTATTGAATTTTTCATAATTAACGAATTATGTTCAATTGTTCTTTTAAAATGTTTAATTGATATAAAATTCTTTTGAAAATTTTTTTGAAACAAGTGTTAATATCGAACAAAAATGTGAAATGTAAAATTTACAGAAAAAATTACCAAAAATATCATATATAATCCAAAACAAAAAATATTTATGAATAAGAAATTTTGTTTAAATTTAAAAAATATTAGGGGCATTTGAACCATGATGACGTCACAGCCTTAAAACACATGCTTTGCAGAACCTATGACGTCATAATGGTTCAAATGCCCTTAAATATCAAAAAGAAGTAAGAATGAAAAAATTTTAAAAATTCAAATAAAAAATTAATTATACTCACAAACAGCCGACAAACAGAACTTGAATTGGTCCATGAAGTGGAGTTATCTTCTTCATCCAATTATGTTTCTCCAATCTTTCCATTATAGGCGGTAAGATCACTAAAACGAGGGAAATAAAAAACTATATAAACTTCAAGAGAATAATAAAAAAGAAGAGAAAAAAAACGAATGAAAAATCGAAAAAATAAAATAAAAAGAGTGAAAAATTTACGAAAAATTAATTTTTAATTTTTGATAAAATATAAAAAATTTACGATTTGAATTAAATTTGATAGAAAAATGATTGAAAAATCGAAAAATAAAAATAAAAATAAAAAGGTGGAAATAATTTACTAATTGAATTAAATTTGATAGAAAAATGATTGAGAAATCGAAAAATAAAAATGTGGAAATATTTTACGAATTGAATAAAATTTGATTGAAAAATCGAAAAATAAAAGGGTGGAAAGAATTTGGTTTAAATTAAATATTAACTAAAATGGATTTTTATTAAAAAATTCCGATAATTACTTACACATTCCTGGAGCACACATGATGATCCTTGAGATGACAACTTGAGAGATGCCTTTTGCAGCTGCAATCTAAAAAGTGTTTTTGCTCGATCAGCCGTGATCCATCTACATGATAAGGAATAGCATGAATTTCCTTTTTGATCGTTCTCGAAAAAACTAACGATGTAACTAATGATCATATAATAAACGAAAAAAAAATTACTTAAATATAAATTGAAGCTCACCTTTGATCGTGTAAGTTTTTTTCCATCATCATCGGTTAGTTCAATTCCACCCCCAATCTCCGTCTGTCTCATCAGAGGAATATTGACACAATTTGCAGCAGCCACGGCAGCAAATGGAACGTATCTCTAAACAGACCATTTCATTAATTAATATACATATATATATATATATACATGTGGGTATATAGAATATTGGAATTCATTGAATCTCGAAATTGAATATCTGACTAAACAATTACAACTAAATTCACTCAATTCAAATTTGGAAATAATTCTTTTATAGTTTAATTTATAGTATTTTATTGTACGCTAATAATAATTATTATCAAGACTGAAAAGAATAATAATTATTATTCGAAAACATCAATAACTTTATTTTTAAATAAATATTATAATTATTATTATTTTTCCATAGGAATTAAGATTTTCAAAAAAATTTAAATTTAAACCTATTTGAAATTCAACAACTTATAAGAATACATTATTATAAAACATGAAGACATCGATCACTCCGAGTCTTCGTCTCGGAGCAATTGATATCTTCATGTTTTAAAATAATTAAAGATGACGGAGTGATAAAATCATTATTTTATATTATAAGAATATTGTTACTGTATATAACTTTTTCAAATTTATTTTCATTATTTCAACTTAATTATTATTTTCTAGAATTTTTAACTAAAATTCTTCCAAAAAATCACACTTTGAAAGATTCTATTTGAAACCTTTTAAAAAAATAAAAAAATTCTATAAATCATACTTTGAAAGATTTTATTTGAAACCTTTTAAAAAAATGTAATTCAAAAAATCAATTAAACTTTTTCAAAACAATTAATTCTACAGAATTGTTATAGTTAAAAGTATGAAAAATTCAAATTTTCAAAGATTCTAATTTGAAACCATTTCAAAATTCAATTATTTCAAAAAATTCATTCTATAATATTTTTAATATTCAATTATTATCTAAAATTTCATAAGTGAAATTAATTTTTAAATTCATTTTTTTTTAGAAAATTCTACGAGAATTCAATTATTTAAATACAGAAATAAATAATTAATTGAATAATTGAATGTTTCTTAAAATTGAATTCTTGTAAAGAATTTTATCAACAAATTTTTAAATAATTGAATTCTATCAACGAATTTTAATAAAATTTTGAAGAGTAATTATATTTTTCGAAAAAATCGATTAAAGTTGTTTTCAAAATAATTGAAATTCTGCGATAATTTTTATTATTTATGAAAATAATTGAATTCCTGTGAAATTTTTATTATTTATGAAAATAATTAAATGTAGAATGTTATCAAATTTTTTTTTAAATAATTGAATTCTTTTGGAAAATTTTATAACAATAGTAGATATTAAACATAATTGAATAATTGAATTTTTGAAAATAATTGAAATTTTTCCAAGAGTTTTATAAAAATTTATAAAAATAATTGAATTTCGAAGAAGAATTTTATTATTTATAAAGAAATAATTCTTGACGAGAATTAGAAAAAAAAGAATTTTTGAAAATAATTGAATTTCAAAATTCAATTATTTCTAAAAAAATAAATAATTTATTGAATAATGGAATGTTTCCTAAAATTAAATTCTCATAAAGAATTTTATCAACAAATTTTGAAATAATTGAATTCTTTTGACGAATATTAATACAATTTTTCAAAATATGTAATTACATTTTTCGAGAAATAAATAAATGTTTGCGTAGAATTTTATTGAATTTTTTTTTTTAATAATTGCATTCTTTTAGTAAATTTGATTAAAATAGTAGATATTAAAAATAATTGAATTAAGGAAAATTTTTGAAAATAATTGAAATTTTACCAAGAATCTTATTGAAATTTTTGAAAATAATTGAATTTCGGAGAAGAATTTTATTATTTATAATGATAAGTGAAATTTTTAACATAATTGAATTTTCGCGAAGAATTTTATTACCTTTAAAAATAATTGAATTCCTGTGAAATTTTTATTAGTTATAAAAATAATGAAATTTTTGCGTAGAATTTTATTAAATTTTTTTTTAAATATAATTGAATTCTTTTAGAAAATTTTATGAAATTATTATTTATTTTATTATTGGAAATCATTGAATGGAGGAAAATTTTTGAAAATAATTGAAATTTTGCCAAGAATTTTATTAAAATTTTTGAAAATAATTAAATTTAGGAGAAGAACTTTATTATTTATATAAAGATAATTGAAAATTTACGAGATTTTTTTTGAATTTTTAAAAATAATTGAATTTCAGCGAAGATTTTTATTTAAAAAATTGATAAATTATTGAATTTCTATGATATATTTCTATTATTTGTGAAAATAAATAAATGTTTGCGTATGGAATTTTATTAAAATTTTTTTTAAATAATTTAATTCTTTTGGTAAATTTTGTTAAAATAGTAGATATAAAAAATAATTTAATTGAGGAAAACTTTTGACAATAATTAAAATTTTGACAAGAATTTTATTAAAATTTTTCAAAATAATTGAATTTCGGAGAAGAATTTTATTATTTATAAAAATAATTGAAATTGTGAACATAATTGAATTTTTTTGAAGAATTTTATTACTTTTGAAAATAATTGAATTTCTGCAATCATTTTATTTAAAAAAAAATTATTGTCTGAAGTAGAAAATATTGAAGGTTTTGTATTAGAGTTGGTGGTAATTTCATAGTTTATGAGTTAAACAAAAAAGACAAAAAGAAAAAAAGAAAATTTCCTAATGAATTCTAAAAATTAAATTTTTTCCATTACTTTTAATAAAAATCTCTGATTTTTCCCTGATTTTTGTGTGTCTTTTTAAAAAGGTTTTCAAAGATAATTTTTCTTTTTTGCCATAAAAAAGAGACGATGAAACGAAACTTACTGCAAAAAGAGGATTCGCTCGTTTTCCCCAAAATGTTTTGCAACCAATTGCAGTGACCATGGCAGCTGTTGTTGCACTTGCATAAGCTAAGCCCAATTGAACTGTGGAAATGGGACTATTTGCATTTCTATTGGTATAATTCACTAGGGCATTAAACGATTGATTGACCCATTGCCAAAATACAACAGCCGTTGTCGTCCTGTGTAGAAAAAAGACCAAAAATAAAATAAATAAAAATACGAAGAGCAAAAATTAAAGTTAACTTTCGAAAATGAAAAATAGAATTTATGAAAGGGTTTTTGTTTTCTTAAACTCAAAAAGAAATTTTAAAATCACAAATAAAAATATGCAAAAGTTGAAACAAATTGAAAATTCGAGAATAGAATTCATTTGAAGGAAAAATTTATTTTCGTAAGTATATAGGTACTTAAAAGGAAAGAAAAATATTTACCTCATCTATTTATGGAAAAGTATAAATAGAAACAAAATTTTGAAAATTAAAAATAGAATTTATCAAAAAGGAAAAAATTAGGTATCTTTATACTTATGAGGAAAAAATAAACAATAAATTACACCTTTTACTTGAAAAACATAAAGGGAAAAATTAGAAATAGTTAGAACAAATTTTCCAAAATTAAAAATAGACTTTATCAAAGAAAAAGTTTATTTCCGTTCTTAAAAGAAGAAAAATATTTACCTTCCATGTGAAAAAGAACAATAACAGAAATTTGCAAAAATATACTAATTTTAACTTTTAAAAAATAGAAATACCATCAAAAAATTTATAAGAAAATTTTCTTTCCATAAAAGAATAAATAAACAAATTTATTTTGTTACTTAAAAAAATATTATCTTTCGTTAATTAAAAAATTAACAAAAAAAAAAGTTTAAAAAACTTTTAAAAATTAAGCAAAAAATTTTACCAATGAACACTTAAAAGAAATAAAAAAAAATATTATAAATTACCTATAAAATTGCAGCATAGCACCAGTAATTGCCATACCTCCTGGAACTTGAAAGGACATTCGGCCAAAAACATTTTGCAATTCACCAGTATCTGGATGAAAAGCAGATTCGTATAATTTTTTTGCATAGATCACTTGATCTCGGGTTGTGCCCGTTGGCTCTGCGCCCAACCTAAAATAAAGAATAGTTTCGTTACGTGACGAAATAAAAATAAAAGAAAAAAAACACAGAAAAAATTTTGAAAATAATTTTTGTATAGGATATTCTGGGAAAAAATTTTATTTTCTTGTATATTATTTTATATTTGTCTGTTCTTTGCAAAGACTAATTAATTTTATATAAATTTTTATACTCTTTTTAGAAAATTTCAAGCATTTCAAGTACTTTCAAAATTGTTAAAAATTTTCTCAAAAATAATATTATAGCAAGAAAAGTGTTTTACTTAAAGCGAATATAATTTATTCGAGTTAAATAAAAATATAATTATCACAGAGCCCACTAAATTATTTATTTTTTAAAAATAAATTAAATATAAACACAAATAATTTTTTTTCGTTTGAACGAAAAACACATTTATTTGGACCAAAAAAAAAACAAATTATATGCACCACAAAAAACTATTTATTTTCACCATAAAAATTTTATTTGAAGCAAATGAAATTTACTTGAATCAAAAAATTTATTTGCATCAATTTAAATTAATTTAAATAAATAAATAAAAAAAAATTTATTTTTAGGACCAAAAAGAACAAATTATATGCACAAAATAAAAGTTTATTTGAAACAAGAAAAATTTACTTGAACCATAATAAATTTATTTGAAGCAAATTAAATTTACGTGAATTAAAAAAATTTATTTGGACCTAAAAGAACAAATTATATGCACAAAATAAAAGTTTATTTAAAACAAGAAAAATTTACTTGAACCAAATAAAATTTATTTCAGCCAAAAAAAATTATGTAATTAAATAAAATTTATTTGAACCAAATGAAATTTATCCGAAACAAATAAATAATTCAGTAACTTATGAGTGAAATATATCTTTTTTCTTAGCGTAAATTATTAAATTTCAATTTACAATTTATTCATTTAAAGTTAAAACATAAAAAAATTTAATTTTAATAAAAAATACATTTTCATTGTAAAATGAAAAAAAATTAATTAATTCTTCTAATGTTAATTAAAATTGTACAGCACTTTCAGTATTTTATTTATTGAATGTTTCATAAATTATATGATTACGTATTTAAGCTAATGGAACTGTTCGATTTTAATTAGAAAACATGTCTAAATCATCAATATATTGGAGTCAATCTTTGCTGCAAATGGTAAAATTGGAATAAAAAATAATTTCCCTTCAATGCAATATCAATGCAAATATCACACACACATTCAAAACTGGGAATAATAATTTCTAGATTAGATATGCTTTTATGAATAAAGTATATTTCACCCTTCACCCATAACAAAAGTAAACTGTGTAGTTCAAACTTTCATTTCTATTGTTAATGTATATTATCTTCTTTTGTCATTTTCCAAATTAAACAGTACATTTTCATACATAAAGTTAGCAAATATTTTAGAGGATTTTTTTGCAAAGAAAATTATTCAACTTATTGTAAATTTGAATAATTTATTAGCGAATTAGTTTTTTTGGATTTAAAAAAATTTAAGAAAAAATATTTTTTTATCTTTGAGTTAAGGGCATTTGAACCTTGATGACGTCACACATGCTTTGCACAATCTGTAACGTCATCAAGGTTCAAATGCCCTTAAATAAATATTTATTTATTTCTAAAAAATTTGTTCGGTTCAAATAAATTTTATTTGCTTCAAATAAAAATTTTATTTGGTTTACATATTTTTTTGGTTCAAATAAATTTTATTTACTTCATAAATAAATTTTATTCATTTGAAGTAGAAATTTTATTTAATTTATGTAACTTTTTTTGGTTTAAATAAATTTTAATCGCTTCAAATAAAAATTTTATTTGGTTTATTTATTATTTTTAGTTAAAATAAATTTTATTTGCTTCAAATAAAAATTTTGTCTCATTTTTACTTATAATTTTACTTGGTCAAATAAATTTTATTTGCTTTAAAAATAAATTTTTTCTGTTTCAAAAAAAAATTTATTTTAATTACATAACTTTTTTGAGTCCAAATAAATTTTATTCACTTCAATTAGTAAGTTTTATTTGGTATTTATTATTTTTTTGTTCAAATAAATTATTTATTTAGTTCAAATAAATTTCTTTTGTTTTAAAAAAATTGTATTCGATTCAAATAAAAATTTTCCTTGGTTTAAACAATTTTTTCGGTTCAAATAAATTTTATTTACTTCAAAAAAAAATTTTATTACGTTTTTATTTATATCTTTTGGTTCAATTAAATTGTATTCGGTTCGAAAAAATCAGATTTGACACAAATTATATTTGGATTAAACAAAAAAAATCTCTCTGAGAGTATGTTAATAATTAATTTAAAAAAAATACAATTAGAAAAAAACCGAATTTTTCATTGTCTCACCTATAATCTTCGCACAATTTCTTAGCTGCTAAAAGATCCTTATCAGAAGCAATACATGTTCTAAAATCAGTCATCCATGCAAAATGTTTCCATCGACCAACAAATGTATTAAGATCCCAAAGGGGTTTATCCAAATCTAGCCTCTGATGGCTCTCCATTTTTTTTTAAATCTGAAAATTGACGAGTAAAAAAATTCTTAATTTAAGTAATGAAACATTGATTTTTTGCCCGATCTTATTATCACAGAAAATGAAATTTATATATATATAATTTTTTCTGTTCCAACGAAAGATTTCCTTAAACTTTTTTTTAACATTATTTTCCATTCAAAATCTAAACTTTGACCATCAAATTTAAATTACCAAGTATAATTATAAACTTTCTGCATTAAGAACACTTTGATACTGCCCAAGGTGTTTTAATTTATTTAAAATGAAAATAACGAAAATAACATTTGAAAATTACGTATTAATCGAATTTTATTTCAATAACAATAAAAATTGAATCACACTCAAAAAATAATTTTAAAAAATAAATAAATACTTTTAATGAAATTAATTGAAAAATGTAATTTTTATCAATTAATTACATTATATCGATTATATTGTTTTTCTTAATTAAGATAAATGACGCAAAATAATATTTTTATTTTTAATTATCGGATAATTAAACGATTTATCTATAACATTTATAGGATAATAATTATAATCAAATTATGAACAATTTTTTTACATCATTGTTGCCAACGTTTATGAAACAATTGGCGACCCTGCATTTAAATAAACATCATGTGATGCTATAAAAAATCTCAAGGTGTTAAATTTTCGCAAAATTCACATTTCTCAGGGTTTTTGTTTAAAAACAAACAGACTTTAAATAAGAGGAACTTAAAATAAAAATTAAAACAGAAAATTAAAAAAAAAAAATGCAGAAGAAATACAAAAAAATAAATAAAAAATCTACTTTGCCTTTATAGATTCAAAAATAAATTTTATGTTTACAATTTTTAGAATGAACTTGAAAATTATGTAAATATGAATTTTTCAAACACCCTGTATATTGGATTTAAGAGGCTCTTGGAATATTTTGATACCTGCGCCCTTAAGCTTACAAAATTCTAGACGATCCCAAACACTTTTCTCAATTCTCAAATATCTTTAGGCAAAATAGACTTAAAATTTTTCCAAAATAAATTCAAAATTTTAAAAAGAAAATCCACAGTCAAAAATTAGAAACATTGGAAAATGTCATTTTTTTCCCCAAAAGAAGAAACATTAAAAGAAAATTTATTTTTTAGGAAAATCTTCATTTATAAACTTCAACATTGAAATAAAAGTTATCGACCGCATAGAAAGAATATTGTTGGTTTATTCAGCTAAAACCGATATAATGTTTTGTGTGTGTGGTGATGATGATTTCAATATTAGACACACCTGCTCACTTTTTTTTTAATTCACATTTGAAAAAAGAAAAAAAAACTGTCAATCATTTATTAAAATTTAATTGAAAAAAATGACATTTCAAGTACACAACACACGATGAGTTAATTTTATAATCTATTTATAATGCAAGAATACAAGAAAATATTCGTCCGCTTACCGTGAAACGCGAGTCTGATCTGGAGGTCCCTCTTCTCGATTAAAGCGCACACGCAAATAATATTTACTATACAGCAGGGCACCTCAACAAATATTTATACGCCCCTGAAAATGGGGATTCCTTACATATAGTAGTTATATTATTATTCTTTCTCGAGTTGTATATATATGTGAGAAATTCTCTGTTACAGAAAAATGGTTTCATTCATTATATTTTAGTCACACGCACATTAACACATTGTGTCCTTGAAAATGTGTCACATTTACGCGCGTTTATATCTTGAGGGGTTTGCGATGTCATATAAACTATTGATTTAGAAATTTAACAAAGAAGTTTTTATATTAAGGGAAATAATTTATCATTTTGTATGGTAGATTTAAATTTTTGTCTTTGGTTAAATTTACTTTGAACTAAAGTAATAAAAAGTTGATTAAAAATGAGTTCAAAATGATTTCAATGATTCAATGATTTCAAAATTAGACTAAATAGAAATTATGTAAAATTAGAGTTCATGCAATTAAAAATTCTTTTAAATAAGAATTCATTTTAATAGAAAATATCATGAATGGAATAGATATTGTGCTAAACTATAATTCTCAAAAATCAAAATTCGAGTATTTGTAATTCTGATAATGTAAATATTAGGGTTAATTTAAAATCGATTAAATAAAAATTCGAAAAAAAGAAATTCTACTAAAAGAAAATTCAAATAAATGAAATTCAATCATTCAAAAATTCTAACTAATGATTTATAGAGCTTAATCATGCGTCCCACAATTTTCTAATTCGTCAGGCTTTTCTGCAATGAACTCTTCTTGTGCGAATTCTGTTAAAGAAATTTTTATGGGCTTCTTTGCTAAAAACATTTTTAAAAGGCCATCTGTTTCATAAAAAAGCTTATAATTAATAATATTGAAAAAATTGCAAATCTCCCCATCTTGCCCCACCGGCGGGTAAGGTGGGGTACCCGTAGGGGTAAGATGGGGTACTCAAGAAAGCAACCTATTTCCGTCGACAAATTTCCCAAGTAAAGGTTGCATCTTCATCTTCATGCATAACTGCAGTGAGCCCATTGGCCGCAGACAAAAAAGCAGCCCAGCCTTCATTTGAGTCTAAATAATAACCATTACAATAGAGACAAGGTGTATTTTCCACTTTACCATCGCTAATGGATGATTTAACCTGACAAGCTTTTTTCTTTTTGGTCACTCTTATTTTATTCAGTCTTGATTTTAGTAGTTTTCTTAACTTCTCTTATTTCTCTTTTTTTTGCTTAATTTGTGAACCCCGTCTTGCCCCACCCTCTCCTACCCCATCTTGCCCCCACCTACGAAATTTAATAAAACGATTAATTACTATAATTTACGATTCAACAAAGAAAAAAAACATATGCTTTCCTTCTTCTGTAACCCTTGACAGTTACAAAAAATTGTATACAGTTCATTAACTGTTATATAGTCATTATTAAAATCGCTCTAACTTTGCTCCCATTAGTCCCATTGGGCCCATTTTTAGGATATACACTCCAATGCAGTAAATAAACCCAGATCTATAAGTCCGGAACAAAGAAAAATTTTTTTGCACTACTTTTTATGTATTTTCGAAAAATTACTTGAAAACCTCCAAATGGTCACAATTAGGTACAACTATTAGGCCCATGTGGTCAGAAACAGGGCATCTGACGTATACCTATCTTTAAATTGCTATAACTTTTTTTCTAATTATCCGATTCGTCTGATTCTACAATTTTCTGACTCGTCAGGCTTTTCTGCAATAAACTCTTGTGCAAATTCTGTTAAAGAAATTTTTATGGCTTTTTTTGGTAAAAAAATTTTTAAAAATCGGCGAATTTTCAAAAGTCAATATTTAAATCGCTCTAACTTTGCTCCCATTGGGCCCATTTTTAGGATCGATTAATCAAATGATAGATTATTCGAGTAAACGATTAATTGACTGATCTATTATTCGACTAATCGACTAATCGATTATTTGACTAATCGACAAATTAACTAATCGATAATTCGACTAATTGATTAATCGATTAATTGACAGATCGATAATTCGACTAATTGATTAATCGATTAATTGACAGATCGATTATTCGATTAATTGACTAATCGATTAATTGACTAATCGACTGATCGATTAATTAATCGATCGACTAATCGATTGATCGATTAATCGACTAAACGACCTATCGACAAATTGACTAATCGATTAATTGACTGATCGATTATTCGACTCATCGACTGATCGATTAATTGACTAATCTAGTAATCGATTAGTCGATTGATCGACTAATCGATTGATCAATTAATCGACTAAACTACCTATCGACAAATTAACTAATCGATAATTTGACTAATTGATTAATGGATTAATTTACAGATAGATTAATCGATTAATTGACTAATCGAATAATCGACTAAACGACCTATCGACAAATTAACTAATCGATAATTTGACTAATTGATTAATCGATTAATTGACTGATCGATTATTCGATTAATTGACTAATCGATTAATTAACTAATCGATAATTCGACTAAATGATTAATCGAATAATTGACAGATCGAGTATTCGATTAATTGACTAATCGATTAATTGACTAATCGATTAATCAATAATCGACTGAACGACCTATCGACACATTAACTAATCGATAATTAGACTAATTGATTATTCGACTAATCGACTGATCGATTAATTGGCAGATCGAGTATTCGATTAATTGACTAATCGATTAATTGACTAATCGAGTGATCGATTAATTAAATGATCGATTAATCGACTAATCGACTGATCGATTAATTGGCAGATCGAGTATTCGATTAATTGACTAATCGATTATTCGACTAATCGACTGATCGATTAATTGGCAGATCGAGTATTCGATTAATTGACTAATTGATTAATTGACTAATCGAGTGATCGATTAATCGATTGATCAATTAATCGACTAAACTACCTATCGACAAATTAACTAATCGATAATTTGACTAATTGATTAATGGATTAATTTACAGATAGATTAATCGATTAATTGACTAATCGAATAATCGACTAAACGACCTATCGACAAATTAACTAATCGATAATTTGACTAATTGATTAATTGATTAATTGACTGATCGATTATTCGATTAATTGACTAATCGATTAATTGACTAATCGATTAATTGACTAATCAATTGATCGACTAATCGATTAATCAATAATCGACTAAACGACCTATCGACACATTAACTAATCGATAATTAGACTAATTGATTATTCGACTAATCGACTGATCGATAAATTGGCAGATCGAGTATTCGATTAATTGACTAATCGATTAATTGACTAATCGAGTGATCGATTAATTGAGTGATCGATTAATCGATTAATCGATAAATCGATTTAACGACCTATCGACAAATTAACTAATCGATTAATTGACTAATCGATTATTCGACTAATCGACTGATCGATTAATTGGCAGATCGAGTATTCGATTAATTGACTAATCGATTAATTGACTAATCGAGTGATCGATTAATCGAGTGATCGATTAATCGATTGTTCGATAAATCGATTTAACGACCTATCGAAAAATTAACTAATCGATTAATTGACTAATCGATTATTTGACTAATCGACTGATCGATTAATCGATTGATCGACTAATCGATTGATCGATAAATCGATTTAACGGCCTATTGACAAATTAACTAATCGATTAATTGACTAATCGATTATTCGACTGATCGATTAATTGACTAATCTAGTAATCGATTAGTCGATTTATTGATTAATCGACTAAACGACCTATCGACAAATAGAATAATCGATTAATCGACTAATCGATTAATTAATAAATTGACTAATCGATTACTTGCCTAATCGACTAATCGATTAATTGATAAATTGACTGATCGATTACTTGCCTAATCGAATAATCGATTAATCGATTAAAAACTGACCGATTATTTGACTCCAAATAGTCACAATTAGGTGCAACTATTAGACCCATGTGGTCAAAAACAGGGCATCTGACGTATACCCATCTTTAAATTGCTATAACTTTTTTTCTAATTATCCGATTCAGCTGATTCTACAACTTTCTGACTCGTAACGCTTTTCTGCAATAAACTCCTCTTGTGCGAATTCTGTTAAAGAAATTTTTATATCTTTTTTTGCTAAAAACATTTTTAAAAATCCGCGATTTTTCAATAGTCAATATTTAAATCGCTCTAACTTTGCTCCCATTGGGCCCATTTTTAGGATCGATTAATCAAATGATAGATTATTCGAGTAAACGATTAATTGATCGACTAATTGATTGATCATTTAATTGACTAAATGACCTTTTGACAAATTGACTAATCGATTAATTGACTGATCGATTATTTTACTAATCGACGGATTGATTAATCGACTAAACGACCTATCGACAAATAAAATAATCGATTAATCGACTAATCGATTAATCGATAAATTGACTGATTGATTATTTGTCTAATCGACTAATCGATTAATCGTTTAAAAGACTGACCGATTATTTGACTCCAAATAGTCACAATTAGTCCGAATGAGTATATAATTTATGAGAAATCCGACTTGGAGTGGCTTAATGAGAATTCTTCTCCTCTCTACTCTTCTACTAGTTTTCCTCCTTTCGTTGTTTTTATTGAAAGTACAGTTGTGGGACGTAATCTCGGTAAGATGGACCCAATACAAGTGATCGATCTCCTTTCCCCTTTAATTGCTGGTGGGAAACAGGTTTCAAGATCAGGAATTAATCAAATAAGGGTGGAATGTGAAAATTATCAGAGCGCCAATGATCTTGTTGCCTCAACAGTCCTCAAAAACATGGGACATAGGATATTTATCCCTGACACCTTTATTCACAAACGTGGATTTACAGACTGGTTCCCTCCTAAACGCTCTATAAGGGATATAATTAGAGTTTGCTCCGCTGATGAGCTTAGGCCTATTTCCGGTATAAGGAGATTGGTTAGACCTCCCAATATCATCACCGATCAAATAGAGATCTCTTTCAACAGTCTAACGGTCCCCAGATTTATTTCAGTTGGTGGCTTCACGGTCCTGATCACCCCGATTATCCAGAGACCACGTAGGTGCTTTAGATGCCAGAGATTT